TTTTTTAGTTGGAAAATGAAGGTGACCCCAAAGAATAGATGGCTTTTCCACCCTTCTGCATGGTGGGTGAAAGGGTGAAATTCGTGACTGGGATCTGACCAGAGTTTGATGTCTTGCTCATGCTCCTTCACTTTTGGTCGCCACAAATCATCCAAATATATACAAATGATTGCTGATACTACATCTACTGGTCTACTGGCTATGTTCGTTTTACTTCACTTTCTTCTGATTTTTGCTACATCCCCACTCTTAGCAGGGCTGCTCCCAACACACCCTCCACTTTTAGAAGGACAAAAATGGATCCCATCACAGTCGCTTTTCCCACCTTGGCCCGTGCCACCGCCACCGCCAGTGCCCAGCGAAGCGCCATGGCGCGGTTTGTGTTTGCGTCGACATCTTTGGTCGACAGTTGGTTGCGACGGGGGGGTTGGGGATGTTTTCATTTTTCATGCTTGGAAGTCAGTGAAAAAAAAAAACTTAGGACTTTCACCAAACCTCTGGGATATGAAAAATATTTAAAAATGGGATAATCATAACAGATAATGACCAGATCTCCAGTATTTTAGTGACCGTTTCAATGACCAGCAAATTACCTGCTGGATCTGAGGCTTCCCAGGATTCCCAGGAAAATTTCCTCGGGTCTTGTCCTCGGTCAGATTCGGTATGCGGGGAATCAAACATGGCCTACTCGCAAATGTACCCATTTATAGATGATGTTCCGATTAAAAACCTCCATTTAGGTCGGGGATTTCCAGCCAGCCATGTTTGATGACACTAGAAGGGTAATTCCAGTCATCACCATTGTTGGCCCATTATAGTGTCTATCCAGATCATTATCCATTATCAATCATTATCATTAATAGTTAAATGAGATTTATATAGATTATATAAATGGTATACCCTCTGGTAATTTAACATCGCTATTGAAAATGGTAATATCTCGTGGATTTACCAGAGGGTTAATAGGTGGTTCTTCATGATCGGTGCACTTCCCGAGACGTCCCAAGTGGGGTTGGATTCACCGCCGACGACGACCCGCCATGGTGAGATGTTTTGGTCATGGTGTTGGAGGAATCCGAAACAAAGATGCAGAAGAGATTTTTGTGTGTCCCACTCAAATGGACGTTCATGGTCTATCTGTTTTTGTTGATCTTGACCTGCTTTGGGGTGAAGCATTAGCGAAGCAGACTGCCTGCTGCGATTCGCAGTGATCTTGGCAATGAGTGGGCTCAAAAAAAAGAGAGCAAACCGCAAATCCCAATCGGATCCAATCGAGGGTTCTTAAAATTAGCCCCAAATCCTAGGTTTCGATATTGAAATGATCAAATCTTGGATGTTTCTGAAAATTCTGTGTTACCCCTTTGCAGCATTGTTTTGCCTATATATTTTTAAAAAAAAACACACATAAAATAAACTGGATGATAGTGCGGTGTCTCCCATTTCCAGACATCTCCATAAAATGATGTTACCAAACTAGCCAGTTTGATGCTTAAAGCCCAACTGGAATGATGTTCTTCACGACTAGTACCATGAATCCCATCCATGTTGAGCGTCGGGACCTTTACATCCGCAAAGTCGCGGAAAAGTTCGACCTCGGCAAAGTCGCGTCATGAGTTTTTGATGTTCAATGCAAGGGAAAGCATCGGTGAATACGGGTGAATGAGGGCTCAACTGGCACTGTGTGTGGATTCCTTCTGAGAGCCGGGGAAACAGTCAACACGCCTAGTACCTTTTGTGTAGCTTACTAACAATATAATATACCCTCTGGTTATTTAACATAGCCATGGAAAATCCCTCATAAATGGAGGTTTTAATGGGAAAATCATCTATAAATGGGCCATCTATACCATGGCTATGTTAAATAACCAGATGGTATCTCTATATACATATTATGGTCACACACCCATAGAATCTACCTCCACCATCCACAAAAACTCAATGTTTCCTGATCGATAGAGACAGTGACTGTATATTGATGATGACATGTTGCAAATGTTGATTATTTGCCATACCCTCTGGTAAACATACAAAAAGCTATTGAAAATGGCCCATTTATAGTTGATTTACCCATCAAAAATAATGGTGTTCCATAGTTATGTGAGTTTACCAGAGGGCAATACATTGCTTCTTATTTCGTGCGTTAAAAGTCATCTACTGTAAAACCTCTAGGGCGTCCTGAAAACCCAGGACCAACCCCCAAAAAGAAATGGCAAAGGGTAATATAGCAACCCAACAGCGATAGAAAGCTAAAATCCCTTAATCCCTTTTTTTGGGGGTTATAGTGCTATTTAATCCCGGGGTCAAAGCCCTGTACCCCTGGTTTCCACAGCAAAATATCTAGTGAGAAGAGATGATGTATGAAGATATGACATATTTTTCCATCCTCCTAGTCACCTACCCAAACAGCCTAGCTACAGATGCCTTCCAAAACAATCGACAATCTTATAGAATATCTATAATTATTAGCTTTCAGGTCGGATACCTATGGCCAATCTTAGATACGCAAATAAAAAGTTGAACATCATTGAAGAGTTGAAGAAATTGCTTAGAACAGATTAAAAGATTCCCATGGCAGATTGACTGAGGCCCGACGAACTCCAAAAGGTCCACAGAGTTTCCAGGGTTGCCACTCCTTTCCTGGAAAAACCAAAAGGTGGGGCCAAGCTTCGGACAGTTCTGGCCTTTTTTTAATGGGTGTTCTAAACTAATGTAGTTGGGGTGGTCATGGTAGATCATATTCATAGCTCATGTCGGGTTGATTTTACACGAAGTTCGAACTCGGTCAATAACTAATGTGAGTTTCGTTGGTGAGTTGACAAACCACTTATGACTGATTAATAAAACGCTTACAAACATGTAAGTCTATAAATATGGTTTAAAATTAATACGCGTTGATTTGAACTCATAGTTGGAAACGGAACTAACATACAAGTTGGTTGAAACTCTGCTTATCACAATGGTACTATGTCGCTATTGTAGATATATCAATGATATATCTGCAGTTGGATGAGTAAAATCTGCTGTTTTCCGGGAACCCCCTGGGGGAGGTCTACAAAGGGGTGGCGGCTTGGCGTATCTTCCAAATGACTTGACAATTTTCCTTTGAAAATATAACCGTAAAAGAACCAATGTCATGAAATGAACAATATATACGTATTGATAGTATCAATCTATCATTCATTTCATGGCTATTATCAATATCAATATGTCAATTTATGTCAATATATTATTCATGTTATGGCATTGTTTTTTTGAAGGATTGATACCATCACATGATAGAAATCCATTAGATGCAGGAAAACCAGAGCGCAAATAATTAAAAAAAATGTCCTGAGCTAAAAGGATAATATATATATATATGATATCATTGTGCATTAACACACATTGAAAACATCTTGGATCCTGCATGTTTTTCTCTCTCAGTCTCTTCGGTAGCCTGCAAACAAAAGAAAGCTGGATAGTAATCCCTTCCCCCTATTACTAAACGTCCCCCAAATACTAAAAACTAGGGTCCATCTCCAATTTTGGAAAATTTCAGATTGGCCAATTTGACTTTTAATTGATCCCCTTTAGAAAACAATTTAAAAATAAAGCAACCATTTGTGGGTGTTGCCCCCTAATACTAAAAACTAGTTAACCCTAGGATGTTTATTATTAGGGTCCGTCCAATTTTTTTTAGTCTTTTATATTAGGGCTTTTAATTTCTTATTAGGGCCCGCTTCGAAAACCAATTTTTGGCAATATTTTAAATGTGAGGAAATTTAATTGATTTTGAAATCGGAAAAAAATGTTTTTATTATTAAGGGTTTAATTTTGTTAATAGGGTCCGCTTCGAAATCCAATTTTGGGCATTATTTTAATTGCGTTATATAAGGAAATTTAATTGATTTTGAGATCGGAAAAAATAGTTTTTATTATTAAGGGTTTAATTTTGTTAATAGGGTCCGCTTCGAAATCCAATTTTGGGCATTATTTTAATTGCGTTATATAAGGAAATTTAATTGATTTTGAGATCGGAAAAAATAGTTTTTATTATTAAGGGTTTAATTTTGTTAATAGGGTCCGCTTCGAAATCCAATTTTGGGCATTATTTTAATTGCGTTATATAAGGAAATTTAATTGATTTTGAGATCGGAAAAAATAGTTTTTATGATTAAGGGTTTAATTTTATTAAAAGGGTTCCCTAATAATAAATACCCCCCTAATACTAAAAACTACCTGAGGTGTTTATTAATCGGGGGGGACGTTTAGTCTTAGGGGGAAGGGATTATATGATAGTATGCCCTGAAAGTGAAATGACTCATTTTACCCATAGTAATGATAAATAATCCACAATTACCATCAATTTCCCCAGGGTAATCCATGAGTCATCTCCCCGAACCCTCCTCTCGTTCCAAACCGTGGGGGTCGTCGCAGCCCTGGCGGGCTGAAAGCCGATTTGGGGTTACTTTTGACACAAAACAATCTGGGAATTGATCATGGCATATCATGGCACACCAGTACACTATTGTCCATTTTGATCTCCCCAAATAATTTGCAAAAAGTTGTCAGGGAAGTGAAGAGCCTCCAATTTCTATGTCATTTGCTATGGACCCCACAATCCCTTGGGGAAATCTGACATGTTATTGGTAATGAAATTTCGAGTGGAAAACAAATGTTGTTTTGCCTAGTACTGGATAGCGTTGATGCCATAATATGCAGTGTTTTCAATGTTGTGGTGTTGTATGGTATGGTAAGACGGTAAGTTAGTATGTGGTTCAGAAAATTACAGTAACAATATAATACAATATATATATACTGTATATATAAACATCCCAAAAAACTGAAAAAAAAACATGCCCAAACGTTTTATCCGGGATCTTGTACATGATGTTTTCCCACAATTTCCTATTTCCCCGGTTTTCTTTAATTTGACCAAAAATATCAAAGATATTCAAAGATAATTTACTTCTGCTGAAACAACTTGGGGACCATGGTTTTTTTTAGGCACAAGGTGGGTCCACTTAGCGGGGTGTTGGATCTGAAGACATTTGAAGCACATCCCTGTGCCTCGGAATGCCCCGTATATCAACAGTGGCTGAAAGGTTGTCTCAAAAACTCTCAGTCACATTGCAACATATCGCACTTGTAAATCCATTGGCGAACTCATTACATGGCTTAAACAAGTTTCAAACATGTCAGCATGGTCAAGACAACCCGCTTCTCTGTTAGTCGCCAACTTGAAATATGACACTTGTCAGCAAGTTTTGAAGTTGTTTTGGAGAACACAAAAAAGTGCAAAGAAACAACGGTGCGCTGGTATTTCAACATTGATCAATGCGGAGTGTCAATTAAAATGATCATGTGATTCCCGAATACCTTTGCTGAATTCCTCCACCTGCCCAAATATTGTATCGAAACTGCTGCGCGTGTGAATGTTGTACCGCTCTCATGTGCTAAAGCCCAAGTGTTCGGCTGACCCTCCGCAACTCTATACAAACATGTCAAATCCCAAGTTTGGCCTTGCTCCAACGACTGCGTGCATGCTCCCCAAAGGGCCACGACGCCCACCTGAAAACATGCATGGGTCCGGCATGGTTTCTCCTGTGAAACGGCTCTGAAACGATACAACCTAACTCTAGGCCACAGCAACACAGTTTTGGCACGATCATCCCAACGCCCAATTTGGTTTGATTTGAATCCATGGCCCTGGCTTAATGACAATTGGGTGCCGAGATGTGCCGAGATCCCCCACTCCATGATGAAGTGCGGCTTGTCGAACACATGCATCCTCGGGCCGAAACATCGTGCTTGCGGTGTGCGCGTCCTGTCAACGCTTCGGCGCGTCCGCCACAGCGCCTACTCCGAAGCCCCTGTCAACTCGCGTGTAAGTTTTGAGTTTTGCTTACAGACGATGTCAAAACTTGGTGTTGTCTGGTTCGCCGCGCGTTGAGTAAGCGATGCTCCAAATGAAAGACATCTGCGTCGGCAAGTAAGTGAGGTGAGGGGTGGAAAGGTCACATGGGTGTGGATCAAAGTCTCAAGCCTTGCCTCACAATGCCTCACATCTGTCTGTCACTCTCAGGCATGCCGTCAACCAATAGCATTGTCTGCAAGTCTGTCGGCGACATTCCCGGTTGTTGCTTCCAGTGGCACTAAGTACGTCTATTTCAAAAAGTCACAGTTTTGATCCATAGTCATCAAGCTGCCATGCTGGTTGTGGGTAACAACATCGCGCGGGCAATCGCGCAGTACAGGAAAAGATCGTTTGTGCGGCGTGCCATCTTGGAACATAGACACGTGACCGCGCCTCAGCCGCGTTTTATCGTGTCCTTCTGACAATTTTCAATCACATCTTTTGATGGAACCAAAGCTGTGCGCAACTCAGCAGTTTGTGGAACCAAAGCCTGGTCGATTTCGAAATCTCGAGAGCAAAAGTTGTGTTTTTCTTTGTCTCTGATCGTGTGCTATTCTTGTCCTGGCATTTTCTCTATGCGCATACTTTTATCCATAGATCCCCCAATGAATGCTCTTTCGTACCATCATACTTCCCTTTTGCAGGCATACCCATTCCATTATTATACTGTAGATCCATCTTTGAGGGTCCCTGGAACGGCATACGTCATGGAAAGCCCTAAAGAATCTTCAAGAATAGCCATGGTTTTTGCTTGGTACATCCCTACTATAATATGTATATATATATATATCCCCTACAAGTATAGCGATGATGGTATGGGTGTTTGGATCAGATTGTGGGGCACCCATGGATATCCCAAGCTGGGTCCAACCGAGCCTGACCTCTATTAGTTTGGTCCATTCCAGTAGCAGTTTGGTCCATTCCATGTGTTAAAAACCCTTGGGATGTACCCTCTGGTAATTTAACATAGCTATTGAAAATGGCCATTTATAGTGGATTTTCCCATTAAAAAAAGGTGATTTTCCATAGCTATGTTAGTTTACGAGAGGGCAACAATACTCATTTCCGTCGATTTTTTCCATCAAAAACCATCCCCATCCGGCTTCGGTCAATGTTCACAGTTTGCTGTGGAAAATCACCACTTCCATGGCTAACTCATGGGCCATGGCTTCCGTAGCTATGTGAAAAAATCCGGCTAATTTGCTGGTAAATGTACATTAAGTTGACGGTAGATGTGCATGAATATCTTCCCAAGTCCCGAAAGAAAACAATTGAAGTTCCACTTCATCGAGGCTTCATCATATGTTTGTCTCAAAAATCAAAAATGGAGGTTTCCTAAAATGGTGGTACCCCCAAATCATCCAAGTCATTAGACAACTTTAGTATTGAGACCTATGATTTTGGTGATTCCCCATTTCAAGAAACACCCATAGCTATCCTCTGGCAATTTAACATACTCGGTAGCTATGGAAAATGGCCTATAAAGTCAGAAATGATTTACCGCTTTAGAATGCTGCTTCTCCAGTTCGCAAAATTCTTTCACAACTCACCAAATGGTATTCACCATACTAATATTTCCAGTTGTATTATTCCCCAGTTGTTTTATTCACATATAGTCATATAGTAATGCAATATTGACTGGTATTCGCCATAATTATATTCCCATTCATATTCCATTAGATGGTATTCCATTCATTTCCATTCATAATAATGAAGGTATTCCCAGAATAATATGGTATTCATCATATTCACCATAATAATATTCCCATAATTCCAGTTGTATTATTCACCAGTTGTCTTATTCACATATAGTCATATAGCAATGCACTATTGACTGGTATTCACCATAATTATATTCCCATTCATATTCCATTAGATGGTATTCCATTCATTTCCATTCATAATAATGAAGGTATTCCCATAATAATATGGTATTCATCATATTCACCTTAATAATATTCCCATACCTCCAGTTGTATTATTCACCAGTTCTTTATTCACATATAGTCGAGTAGTAATGCAATATTGAATGGTATTAACCATAAGGTGGTTAAAACAATCATAAACCATCCCCAAAATCACCATTTGTATAGGTGGTATGGTTACCATTCCCAAATGGGTGGTAAATTATTGTTTTAACCACATTAATATCCAATCCCATTGATCATATCCCAATTAATATCCCAATAAATCCCATTAAAAAACCATTGTCCATTCATATTCCATGATCTTCTCATTCTCGCAGCGCTGAAGCCGAGACGACAAGAAACGCTTCCAACAACGCCTTCAAGCGCTGGCGCCGCTGCCGCGGATGGACCTTCATCAGGACCTCGGCTCCCAGAGATCGGAGATGGTATCATATAATGATTTAATATAGAATATAAATGAGTAAATCATAGGTGTAATACACATCTTGAGAATTATATATTCACTTCTTGATCTATTTAGTTAGTTCATGAGTTAGTTATATATATATATATGTGCGTGTATGTAATATATACGCGTATATATATATATATATGCGGTGAAGAATTACAAGAATACACCAGCCTGAAATATCCTGAAACTTGCAGCGGGGACGCTTGCCCCTATCCGACGAATCTAACAACCGTGAAGTGCTTCGCAGCAGCGAAAAAAACATGTGGTACCCAGGGGCGGCTGGTGATTTGGGAATCCCATATCCCACATAAATTGCACATCAATCCCACATAGATCCCACATAAAATCACCATTTTGGAAGGTCAAAAATTTTTGAGCCGGTCCCAAGACTGGAAGGCTCCACAACCGGAAAATGGGGGATCTCTGTTGAATTGCCCAAAGGATCAAGGGGATCCTCCTCAACCAGAAAAACGTTCTAGCTTTCTTGACTGGAGGATACCTTCTGGTAAACTAACATAGCTATTGAAAATGGCCATTTATAGTGGATTTGCCCATTAAAAAAAAAAAACATGGTTGCTTTAGTTTACCAGAGGATACTACAAACACTCTTCAACGAGCAAATAGGTTGGTCCAAAAGCAAAGTACCCCAACATCTACTGGTGATCACGATTGATCATCATTCTTACAACTTCAGAAACCCAGTTTTGGTAAGTGGATCGTGCCCGATTTCAGGCACAGCCCAAAAACTGTGATATTCCCATGATTGTCTCATTTGTTGCGAGTTGATATATATATATATAGTATATAGAGTGTGTATATATATATATTATTGATATAATAGTATATCAATATATCAATATTATATGTATATATTATATTACATTCAATTACATTGCATTACATTAAATTATATTATATTACAGTATGTTATATTACACTAGATTATATCATATTATATTAGAGTCATATAAAATCACACTACATCCTTTCATATTCTATTTTATTAGATTTCATTACATTACATTACATTACATTATATTATGTTGTATTACATTGTATGAATATCATATGATACTATATTATATCATATTAAATGATACTATAATATTATATCATATTATATTTATATCATAATATATTATCATGCTATATGATATTATATTATATTATATCATAGTATATTTTCAGATTATACAATATTATTAAGTATCATCAGATTATACAATATTATGTTATATTATATTATATCACATTACATTATATCATATTATATTGTGTTATATTATATTATATTATATTTTAATATATATATTAATAGCCATATCATGCTATATCATATTGTGTATATATATATATATTTGGGTCTGCCTCGTGACACTAACAGTGGCCACAATTCATACCACAAAAAAAAAGCACAAGAAAAATCAGGTTGTAGTCCCCAATATGACTTTCATTTCCCCTTATTAAGGCTAGATGACCAATCATATTCCCTGCAAGTTGGCTCCACGGTCGGCACATTTTCTTGCCATGCCCAGAAGTCCTTGCTGTCAAAATTCGACGTTGGCATTTCCAATGGGATGCCTCATGCATCCAGCTTGTCAGCACCTTGTGGGTAGTGATGCTGCTGATTGCAAAGCAATACTGTTTAAGGTTTCGGATGCTGCACATTGCAGCGATGATGGCCCAGCAAATGTCTCACACCATTTCCTTTTTCCAACATCCTTTTCAAAAAACATCTCAGGAGTGAGCCCATGCCAGGAGCGGGAATGTGAAAAAATGTAATTATCATATGATGTTTATTAAGAACCTCAACAACTATTGTTGGAGGCACGCCTTTGTAACGCTTGTCACTTATAACTTACAATGGTTGGACCGTTTGATTGCAGTATCTCGGTATCTCAGGTATGCTGCATTCAATATTGTAAAGAATGTCATGAATCATAATAACGTATCATCATATCGATGAAACACCTTGCATCATCATATCATATCATTGCCATTGCTATTTGACACACAAATATCCAGATAGACAAAGTGATGTCAGCTGTCAGACATCCCAGAACCATTCCAACTTTCCAACCATCAAAGGATATCAACAGCAACATCGATACTTTGGTTTTGGCTAGTTGATGACAAGTTCAGCAAACATGTCCTGATGGCTCCAACAATATGGCGCAATACAAACGGATGTTCGTTAAAATGATGAAATGGTTTAACCACAAACAATGCCACCTCAAATGTAGTGATGTTGTTGCATTCACTACTCCACCCTTTGTTACTTGCACGGCCCACCTAGATCACATTTTCTCCTAAGCAGACCGTAAGGATCCCCTAAAATGGCCTGAGTTACCACCAATATGATTGTGCTTTTTTGGTATGTGGTTTATGAAGGGGGGGCAGTTTTGAACTGTTAGTGGGCGGGGGCAGACCCAAATATATATATATATGTATATATATATATATATATCATGATACATCCTCCAAAAATTCCCGTGGTTGAAATTCCAAATAGTTGGTTGAAAACAAAAAAACAAGTTGTATCCCCATTGAAATATATCTCTGGCATATGGTCCATGAAAACCCGGTAACCCGGTGCCTCTCTCAAGGAACGCCACCAGGAGAGTGTGCAACTCCCGTACCTGAAAAAATGGAGATCTTACGATAAATCTGGCGCAACAAAAATGGTGAGTTGATTACCCTCTGGTTATTTAACAGTTTGCCATGGTATAGATGGCCCATTTATAGATAGTTTACCTATTAAAAATGGTGATGTTCCATGGCAAACTGTTAAATAACCAGAGGGTACAGTAAATGAAATGATGTATTTCACCCAGAAGAATGGGGGCATCCAAAAGAGTCCTGGGAAGAATGGGTCGAAACACCTAATAAAAAACCCATGTTGGCCCATCTTTTGCCATCAATGAGTAGTAGGTTTCCAATTGCTGGTTTATTGTTCCCCTTGAATGCTCCATGGTTTCTGATATCCCCCATGTTATTCCCACTATATTCTATTCTCTCACTGTATCATTTGGGTGATGTTCCATGTTTTTGGGCGAATCCAATTATGAAGTCCCCACACTGAATCACCAAGTTCAGATATTTTTACTCAGTAGTGAAGTAGATACCATCTGGCTATTTAACACTTTGCCATGGTATAGATGGCCCATTGAAATAGATAGTTTACCGTTCTTAAAAATGGGTGGATTTTCCATGGCAAACTGTTAGTCATAACCAGAGGGTATGCAAATCTCCATTGTCCAGGCTATAAATGGAGGTTTTAATGGCAAAATATGGGTATATAATGGGTGGATTATCCCAGTATTGGGAGGCGGCTTTCTGAAAGGAAACATCTGTTCCGCGGCACTGTCTGACAGCTGGGTAGAGGATCATGGGCATCACCTCAGTGCTGAAGTGCCAAATGCCTTGCTCCCTTGTTTTGTGGCCCCAACTGGAAGTTCGATATGGATGTTTTATGGAATTATGATGGATCTTTCATGATTTTTTGATGGATTTTGGGTTGACAACTGGGTAGATGTTTCATGAAAAAGATGTAGAATTGCGAAATGTCCCCCAACAACTTGTGGTTGTGACCGAAAAAAAAATAGAGTTTTTTGAGCACCCCTGCGATTTTTCATAGGCTTTTATTGATCCTGGAAATGATTCCAATGTTAACCCCGGACCTGTTAACCCCGAAGATTACTGGTCAAGTCCTGGAGGCTTTTCCGAGGTTTTTCAACCGAGCAACGCCGTGGTGCCCGGTGCCTGGTCTTCGGTTGTATGATTCATTGGATTGGTTTAAGGGAAAATCTTAACCGGAAACCCATGGGGTTTTTACCACCAAATTGGTTGGGCTTAAACCAGTAAATTTTCCCATCATCCAATTCAATGAATGATAGAATGTTATGTAATGGCTATATGATAATTAGAGGTTGTATGATGGTAACGTAACTTATATCATGGTTTATCATTTTAACAGAAAGGCTGTATATAGTTAGAATAGCTATAGAAGAGTGAGTATGAGAGGTTATAACATCCGCGCTAGTACCCCAAAACAGAAAGGTTGTATATACTTAGACCCCCAACATTTAGATGCCAATATATTGGTCGGACATTGTTTGTTACTATATTTGAGGTTCCTGGATATACGTGTATATATATATATATTCATATATATATATAATATATTCATATATATATATATATCATGCATGTTGCTATATCAGGCAAATGTCATGAGTCAAAAACAATGTTTATAATATACCATAATATACATTGTTTTATACATATCATATCATGATTGAGATCCTGCATCCTATTCATCATCAGTTGTTGGCAGGCCATCCCCCTTATGACCACTGAACATGTTTTTTGCTGTGTTGTCGTTATTGAAATCAACAATTGTTTGCTATCTAAAACCATTCTAATCATGAGGGCAAAGTGATCTACTGCACAATATCCAGGATTTTGTTCCTATCATCATAAATCTTTGGCCAAGTATAGCGCTTCGCCATACCAATCACTTGAATCATCTGAAACCATGGAAAGATCCTCTCGTTATTTCTCATAGCTATGGAAAATGGCCCCTTCATTCACTGGTTGGTGGTTTTAACCATCTTGAAAAATATTAGTCAATGGGAAGGATTATCCCATATATTATGGAAAATAAAAAATGTTTGAAACCACCAACCAACCAGTTAATGATCACCTGGCTATAAAACACAGTGATTTTCCAGTTCCCTACGTAGCTTTTTGGCAGCAAGGCTTGGTAACAGGAAATTCACCCGAAAATCAAAATTACCCTCTGGTGTCATCAAACGTGGCTGGCTGGAAAATCTCCTAAATACAAGTAATACAGAAGAGATTGAAGAATATCAAGAAGAAAAGGTTCTGAGTATAAACAAACATAAACTATCAAAAAACATCACAAAACACTGTATAAGAATTAAGAATGGGGCCCCCACAGCGTTACACTCTCTATAAATGGAGGTTTTAATGGGAAAATATGGGGAAATCATCTATAAATGAGAGAATACTGGAGGGTACAATGGGTAAGGTTGCTTAATGCTTAGACAATCGCTTGACAGCTCTTGTCAATGGTCGTGGCCATTACGCAGTTCAAAGATGTCTCTCTCTGCTTGGTCTATCTTTTTACCGCTCTGCTTGCCTTCTGAAGAATCAGTGTTTGATTTTTTGGGTACCTAGATCAAAGGCACAAATGAGTAAAAATAGGCAGTTCAATAGGAATCATATAACATCATATAACACCGTAGAACAATCAGTCATTGATTTCATGAAAACTCTACATCAAATCTTGGTGTTTACCATCCAGGTTTGGTGGAACGATTTCCAGCTCGTTCACCAGTTTGAAACCCTGGGGTGGGAAAACAGAGCCATGTTCTGGGTCCATCTTGAAGAGGTACTAGCTCATGCTTGATTATATCTTTTAAGCCATATCCGTCTGCCCATTATCTCCTGAATTGTAATCATTCACTGAACTGAAAAGTTTAGCCATTTTGGTATGATTCTCCTCACAAACCCATCATTTCTAGAGCGTCGCCATGTTTGATTACCGAATCATATAGGCCTCGCGTTTTTCAGTACATCCCAGTTCAGTAGCCCAGCCTTCGACACCAGCAATGTACAAGACCTGTGGTCGATGCCTCAGGCTGCGCTGGGTCTGGAGGTCCCAATACTGCAAAATGAAGAGGTAAGATATGGCATAAAATCGCATAAATCATCATCAATCGCCACTTTCCCCTCCTTCTGGCAAACATTTACTGGGAAAAGAGATGAAACGAGGATTGTGGCGCCATCCTGCGCACTGGCGGCATCTGGGTGAACTTGCTGCTCACCTGATCTTTTCTGCTACGAGGAGGTTAGCCTGCTTTGAGACTGTGACCCACCGAACAACTCCTGCGGGTGCAGTCCGGCTTTACTAGGCATACTAGGCACTAGGGACTCATTGTCACCACCCGTGACTACCAATCATGCATTGTGTTCTGGATCCCTAGGATGGATGCTCCATCAAGTGCAAAGCCCAGTCCTGGCTTTTAGATGTCTTGTACATGTGCCATGTCATTTCATCATTGTAAAATACCTTTCCAGCAGCAATTGCAAACAACTCAGGACCAGGCCCTACTGTTTTCTAGTATTTTGCATGATATTTTTCCGGCATAGCATCACCACGGGGATGAAACGACGTCGCCACCAGCCAAGGCCAAGTTGTCCGAAAGCTTCGCCCAAGGACCTTCCTACCAGAACATAACCAAAAGCTGAAGGCCATCCGATCTGCGAGTTTTCGCTTCACATCATCCCTACTGCAAACTCCGCGACATACGCGTAAGGGCAGCACACAATTCTTCTCCCCAAGGACACGTAGCGCAACCAGTCCCAGCAGTGGTATCATTCTGGCTGTGTACAAGGACCACATGGGTTGGTACAACAGTGAGGGATACTGTACCCTAATTATCACTCATTTATGGCCGTTATGGCCGTTTGAAATCATGTTCATTGGGCACATGGGCTTGGAAAGCATGATTATTTTTAGGTGTCCCATAAATTTCTCCACAAGCCCATATCCTATGTTTGTTTAGAAAAAACATTACTGTAGATAACCATAAAATAACCAGAATGATATTAGTCCATCTATAACCATCAATCCATGACATTATCTAACAACCATAGATAAATAGTAATCATATCCTATGGATAACCATAAAATAACCATAAATAAAAAAGGTAAAGTCCATTCAAATTTGGTGTGGAAAATTGAATGGTAAATCCTATCACTGAGACTCGGGCGACCGTTGATCCCTCCTTGAAGCCGGTGCCAAACACTGGAGACAGCTTCCAACAAACCCATCAGTTCAAAGGGTTTTACCCTCTGGTAATTTAACATAGCTATTGAAAATGCCCATTTATAGTAGATTTTCCCATTGAAAATGGTGATTTTCCATAGTTATGTTAGTTTACCAGAGGGTACACCAACCGGTGAATATCCCAAGTCCATTCCTTACATCTCCTTACTACTTTGGTCTTCCCAGAATTTTGGCGATAAACCGATAAACCATCATGTGCCCATGACAGTTTTTCATATCCCCCGTGATATCCCAACTTCGATATGCCATATATCCATGTTAATCCCTACTCATAAATCAAAGAAAAAGAATCTTGCAGCATGATGATCCTGATTTCTTTCTCCATGAGATAGAACAACTATTTTCATCCGTCAACCTTCAAAAGAAAGTCTCCAGATCCATACCTTTCAAACAAAAAAAACGGACGGCCGCCCTCCGGCGAAAACACCTGCTTGCCAGGTCGGGAGGCTTCTCCGCATCCGACAGCCTGAGGTTTGCCATTTTTGAACCATTACTAGGATCATCAAATAATGGTTATAATGGTTATAATGGTCATAATGGTTATAATGGTTATAATTGTTATAATATTCAAAGAAATATCATTACTATAATCATTACTGGTTATAATATTTGAATATAATGGTCATACCCTTATGATATATAATATATAATATTATAATTATTATCATATGATATGGTTACAATAATTCTAATAATGGTCATGATATCACAATATTACAATAATATTCTAAAAATGGTTGTCATATATATATCATATAAATATTACAAGTAGAATATTATGATATCATGGGGGATGGTTACAATAATGGTGATGTGACTATCACATATGATGAAAGCATATTATCATAATGCCATAATCTATAAATATAGCCATAAATTGTCATGATCTATAAATATGGGCTAAACAATGGTGGTATGATACTAATTGGTGATATGATGTGATTAGAATATGATACAAGGGTCATCAATGGTTGACAGTGACTATGGCTAATAATGATTAATAATGGTAACTAATGTGATTAATCAACAGTTGTTTTTAATGGTGATTACTATCATTAATGAACTAATGGTGACTATCGTCAGTAAAGCAATAGGAAACAATACCCCAAAATCTACCACTGTTATGGGTGGTATTAACCTAACATTAGTGGGATTAATCATGAATCGTTAATGATTAATAATGGTGAATGATGGTGATAATTTGGTGGGATGAATGGTCAATATTGGTTAAAAATCATACATAAAGGATCAATTTGCTTGCACTAATGATGACAATAATGATGCTTAATGGTTAATGATTAAAAATGGTTGATAATGGTCGAAAAATTAGGATTAATGGTGATTAATGGTGATTATATAAGGGTGATTAATGTAATTATATACTCTCCGGTAGTCAAACATGGCTGGGAAATCCCCGAACTAAATGGAGAAGTGAATGGAAAGATCATCGAACTATAGTAACTATTGCTGGGGGATTTTCCAGCAAGCTATGTTTGCTGAGCGGAGGGTAAAGGTATTTGGAAGATCTATGCATTGCATTGCATTGCATGGTCTTGGATACCGCACAAAGATCAAGGATTCAATTCAGATAGACCAAGCTGTTTGGGATACCCAAAAGACTTGATACATTAAATGCGGTATCCATGGCCTGGAAACCAAGGCTTTCCCATTGCCGAAAGCCTAAAAATTGGCCTCAAAATCTCCCAAAATCGGGGTGACCTCAGGGCTCCCAGAATATGTGGCGGACTTCATCCTTGTACCAAAAGAGCTGACCAGGGGTATTAGCTAACTTGGATATCTTAATACTCCGTGTTAAAAAAATACTGCTAAAGTACCATCCAGACGGAACCCGAATCTGAAATGTATTGGATATAGTCATGACTTGGGGCTCCATGGCTATTTCATACTAGGTCAGATTAGTCGTACATGACCGTTCTATCCTTTTGGGGCATAAAATCTTGATGAATTCCCGATATGATCAAGACCATTGTAGCCCATCTTGTAGCATCTTTAACGATTCAAGGAATCTGGGGGTCAACACTCCCAATCTTCACCAATTCAAGGTGGACTTTTGGAGTCGAACGACCGGATTTTTGGTCGCCATCACTTTTCGGTCTTAGGGTTGGATCCGCATTTCTGACGGTTAGCATCGAGTTTAAAACATCTCATTCGTAAATGACGTTTTTTACCCCATCATCCAGTAGAATCATCTTTCAATCTATGTATAGTTTGGCCAAATTACGTATGCTTAGCTGTATAATTAGCCACATTAACTAATTACATCTTACAATTGTGGCAGCCACGACAACCAGTTCCCCAGACTACACTTGCATCTAATTATAACAACCATACCCACTAGTCAACTAGCATATGGCAAATTACCTATGATCACAAAATGCTGGAATTCCGTAGCTATGTTCACCAAAACGTACGATAAATGTGTATATATATATATATATATATATACATCTATATATATATACATATATATATATATACATATATATACATATATATATATATATACATATATATATACATATATATATATATACATACATATATATACATATATATATATATATACATATATATATACATATATATATACACATATATATATATACATATATATATACATATATATATATACACCCATATATTTATATTTATATTTATATATACGCCACCATAATTACCTCTAATCTTGCAAGCCAGTTCCCATCCGGCCGAATCCGATTCATTTCACGTCGAGGAACAGAGTGGCATTCACCTCTTCCCCCAAGGAGTCTTTGAAATTGCTCACCTCACAGCAGGCGAACACCTTGAACGAAACACACCGATTCTGGTGTACATAGTCCATGAATGATATAATGTGTATATATATATATATATTTATATATTTATATATACATTTATATATATATGTGTGTGTACTATATATGTACTATATAATATATATATATATGGGTAAATTATAATAATTCACTAACCTGAAATAAGGCCATTTGGGGATGATTTCCCTTATTAACCATGATTCCAGTGAGGTCGCAGTGAGGTCGTTATAATTTGCCCTAATAAATACATATATATATATGTACTATATATGTACTATATTTATATTTATATCTTGCCTGACCTTGTTTGAAGGTCTCCATGATCTGAGGAACCTTAAATGTTGCGTACAAACCTGGTACCCCAATAGCTAGATGGTTTATGTCATTTAAAAAAATGTAAATGAATATAAAATCCCAAACAAAAATGGATGATAACTAGGGGTAGCCCTATGACTTTGGAAACCTCCATATAATGTACAAAGTTCTTTTTGGCATTACAGACACAAACATGGCAACACAGTTCCAGGGCTCAGGAACCCGTCGTGCAATCCACATCGCCACCTCCACCTCACCAGGATGGGGGCCGCAGCTAGGCCACAAAACCCATAAGTTGGGGTTATTTCAGCCACGGACCTCAGCGGATCCCTGGAAATTCTGTTCCAAAAGGGAACGGCTTCAACGGCTTAGAGGAATGTCAGCAAGAAATTTGGGATTGTGAAGAAAAAACATCAAGTAAGGAAGTCATGGGGGAGAATGTTCCCGGATTTTTGGTGATGGAACATTGCTTATTTATAGATTATATTAGATTATTGTCCCATTAAAAGCTCCATTCATAGGGGACATCTTGACGGTTGATTCCAGAGGCTAGCATCGATAATGCTGGTTTTCTAGATTCGATGGATCCTTTTTTGGGACTCACCATCCGTTGCCCAGGGAAAAAAAAGTCCAGCCTTGTCTCGGTACATGGCCGCAGGAGAACCTGTCAAACGAGGGAGAGAAAGGGAGATCTGATGGCTGATGAAAATCTGAACCTATAATATCTATATCTATATGTGTATATATATATATATATATATTATTACTATTATCATTATCATTATTATTGTTATTGTTATTTTTATTATTGTTATAATTATTATCATCATTATTATCATTATCATTATTACCATCCTCATCATCATCATCATTATTATTATTGTTATTATATATGCATATATATATATAATTATATATATATGATACATATCCGGATAGATCAACTATAGTAATCCACGCATCTAAAAAGAGTTCGGCCATTTGGGCATGTTTTGCGGAATCCTAACCATCAATCGACGTGGTTTCCATTAGTTACGGTGAACCATCAATAAATGGTGGATACAACTTTCAAGGCGCACCCAGTATCAAGACATGAGGGTGGATATTAACTTATATGGTTGATATGATAAACCCTCCATAGAGGTTTGAATGTGTAAAATCATCGACAAAAACCGATCTTGTCCAGCAAGCCATGCTTGATGACTGGAGGATAACTGAGGTTAAACCATCGAGGACAAGGTCCCACGGTCCCACCCGCCAGCAGAGCATCACCCTGCAGGCCCTGGGCCCCTGGGCATCCCTAACCGAAGCTCAAGTCCACATCTTGTCCACGAAAGATGTCCACGGGATACCCTGTGGCGCGTCTCACCCGGAAAACCATCGTGGATGTTATAAGCAACAAATCAGAACGGGACCTCGAAAAAATGAGGTGACAATGAAATGTGACAAACAACAAATGAATTGAATGCTTCGTACCCAAAACGAATGACCAAATTTCGGGGTTCCAGCAAATTTCGTAAATACTGACCCCACATCAGTTGTTGACTTCCAGAGGAATCTACTTGATTTGCTGATTCGTTGCAATAGTTATCACCATAGTAGTATGACGATCATTGAATCATTTAATGGGCTGCATTTTTTTTGGTGGATTTGTTCCCCGTTTTTTTCCCCCGTTTTATTATTGCATACTCATCACGCCGTCATCAGGTATAGTATCCCCTTTCTGAAAATGGGCGACCATCCCCATATGAAAAATGACCAACCCCCAAAATACACATGAAATATCCCTTAGGTAATTTAACAGTTTGCTACTGAAAATGGCCCATTTATGGTTGATTTACCTATTAAAGAGTTCTGATTTTCAATCGTTATGCTGGTTTACCAGAGGGTAAATCACGTTTTTTTCAGTGATTCTCTGTCTGAAAATCGGCCATGACCTCAAATTTCCATATGAATAATGTGTGTTTACTCAAGGAACCCCTTGAACCCCCCACAAAAAAGACACGTTCCTCATAGATTCCCTGTGGGAAGTCGAGTTTTCGCATTTTTCATGGAAATCCCAGCTGGTAGCCTCTGGTTATGACTAACAGATATAGCCATGGTTAAGCCATGGCCCATAGAAATAGATGGTTTCCCGAACTGAAAAATGGTTATTTATGGATACCAACTGGTGATTTTATACATTGCCATGGAAAATCCCCAACCATAAATGGAGGTTGGATAATGCTGGGAAAATCATCTATTTAATCTATTTCTATGAGCCATGGTTTCCATGGCAAACTGTTAAATAACCAGAGGGTATATTATACTAGAATTAGACTACTAATCCATTATCCTAATTCATATGATATCCTAATGTATATTATCCTAATGTATATTATACATTATGATATATTATCCCAATTATATCATACTAATTCATATTGTATCACATTCTTTGCTGGTGGTGTCAATCCCCCTGAAAAATAGGAGTTCGTCAGTTGGGATGATGACATTCCCAACTGAATGGAAAAATAAAAAATATTCCAAACCACCAGTTTGTGAGTGTGTGTCTGAAAATGGGCTATGACCCTCAAATGTCAATATGAATAGGGAAAAATGATGCTATTATTCCATATGAGTTTCCCATACAAATCCATGTTAATCCATATTATCCCATTTGTACATGAATATTCCCTTTGTACACTCATGATTGCCTATGATGTATATGAATAGATTTAAAAAAATAATTACTTTACTTCGTGTGATCCCCACCGTGACATTTTTACATTTTCTTACTGGCATATCTTCTGGCATTCTATCTGACATATCTTCTGGCATTCTATCTGGCAAATCTTCTGGCATTCTATCTGGCATATCTTCTGGCATTCTATCTGGCATATCTTCTGGCATATATTCTGACATATCTTCTGGCATTCTATCTGGCATATCTTCTGGTATATCTTCTGGCTAGTTCTGGCATATCTTCTGGCATTCTATCTGGCATATCTTCTGGCATATCTTCTGGCATATTATCTGGCAAATCTTCTGGGATTCTATCTGACATATCTTCTGGCATATGTTCTGGCATATCTTCTGGCATTCTAACTGGCATATCTTCTGGCATATTATCTGGCAAATCTTCTGGGATTCTATCTGGCATATCTTGTGTCATTCTATCTGACATTTTATCTGGCATACCTTCTGGCATTCTATCTGGCATATCTCATGGCATTTTATCTGGCATTCTATCTGACACATCTGGCATTCTATCTGGCATATCTTCTGGCATTCTATCTGACATTCTATCTGGCATATCTTCTAGCATATCTTCTGGCATTCTATCTGACATTCCATCTGGCATATCTTCTGGCATTCTATCTGGCCGTTGAGGTCCGGCAGGGAACACTTGGCGTGGATACTCGCGGTTGAGGTCCGGCAGGGAACACTGGGCGTGGATGGTCGTGGTTGAGGTCCGGCAGGGAACACTGGGCGTGGATACTCGCGGTTGAGGTCCGGCAGGGAACACTGGGCGCGGATGGTCGTGGTTGAGGTCCGGCAGGGAACACTGGGCGTGTATGGTCGTGGTTGAGGTCCGGCAGGGAACACTGGGCATGGATGGTCGTGGTTGAGGTCCGGCAGAGAACACTGTGGATCGCGGGTCGCAGTTGAGCAAGGACGACGAGGACGACGAGGACGACGAGGAGGACGAGGAGGACGAGGAGGACGAGGAGGAGGAGGAGAGGAGGAGGAGCAGGAGGAGGAGGAGCAGGAGGAGGAGGAGGCAACTGACATAAAATCTAACAACCCTCACCTGGCAGGTGGGGAATAATAATAACCCATTACAATCCCATTATAATCCCATGATAATCCCAATATATCCGCATGGTCTGTGGATCTTTGCTGTTTCTCCCCGAGATTTTCGGTGGTTTTTTCCAAGGCTCCCATGGGCGTCTTGTCCGTCACTGGGACACTGCCGTCCGGGAAGAAGGTGGCTTCACCCAGCCTATGGCGCGTCTACCATGTGGTAATTATATGATGGTTAATATTGGTTGATAACGGTATGATGGTTAATATTGGTTGATAACGGTTGATAACGTTTAACAATGATTGCTATTGGGCTTACCACAATATATAATGAATGATGAATGGTGGAAATGATTTGAGTGATTTGACTGATTTGACCATGACAAAATGATCCAAAATGGTGGAATAATTGCTATTGGGTTTACCACAGTACTATAGATCCAAGCTTGAAAAGTTGGGTGAGTCTGCCCAAATTTCGTCGATGGAGTTTACCAAAGGGTTCTGATATTCCACAATTCACCCAGGGGTAATATAAGAGTCAATGGGGAACACAAGTGTGTAAATATATATATATATACCTATTCATATATATATATATATATTTATATGTGTGTGTGCATGTATGTATAATTATATACATATATATTATTATATATATAATATTATATTTATTGCTGATATATAATATAATAAAATATAATATAATAATATAATATATATAATATATATATAATATAATATAATATAATATAATATAATATAATATATAATAAAATATAATATAGTAAAACATAATATAATATAATAATATAATAATATAATAATATAATAATATAATATAATATATATAATATATAATATATATTATAATATATAATATATAATAAATAGTATATAATATATAATATATAAAATAATATATAATATAAAATAAAATATAATATATAATATAATATATAATATAATATAATATATAATAAATAATATAATATATAATATAATATATAATATATATATAATATATAATTATAATATATAATAAAATATTCAATATAAAATATAATATAATGTATAATATAATATATAATATAATATAAAATTATATATAATATAATATATATAAAATATGTAATATAATATTTATATATATAATATATAATATGAATATAATGTAAAATATAATATACAATTTAATATATTATATAATATAATCTATTATATTATATATTATATAATATATTATATTATATTATATTACATATTTTATTATATATTATATAATATAATATATAAAATATTATAATATATAATATCATATCATATTACATTGCATTGCATTACATTACATCACATCACATTACATTACATCATATTATGTCATATCATATCATATTACATTACATCACACTACATTACATCATATTATGTCATATGATATTAAATTATTTATAACAAATATATCATATATATATATGATATATTTGTGATAAATAATAAAATATTATAGATTATATATCATGTGTCTATATATATATATATGTATATAAATACATTATATTATATATATATATTATGTTATATCATATCCTTTTTCTTGGCTTCTGTAGCTTCTTGTCTGTTCGCTCCCCAGGTCTCATGTTATATCATGCCTCCCCTTAGCGCGTTTTAGCTCTGAGGCTCGCCGGAGCTGAACTATCAGAACATCTGTCAGATACTGTAGTCAAAGTAAAAATATGTATCAATTGCCATGTAAAATCATGTAAAATCATGTATTTATATGTATTTATATGTATTTATATGTACTTATATGTATTTATATGTATTTATATGTATTTATATGTATTTATATGTACTTATATGTATTTATATGTATTTATATGTATTTAATGCCATGTAAGACTGTATGCCAGTATGCCATGCCACTGTCAGAATATCTGCTGCCCTCAAAGTGTAAAACCTCAGAATATCTGCTGGTTTGGAAGAATTTATCAGAATATATATATATATATCAGAATATGTATCTGTCAAACCAAACATCAATATATGCCAGATGGAATGGATGGAATGTCAGAATGCCAAATGAAATGTCATGCCAGATGGAATGTCTGAATAAATGCCAGAATATATGTCAAATAGAGAACCAGATAGAATTTCCGAATATGTCAGATAGAATGTCAGAATATATGTCAAACAATATTTCAGAATATCTGTCAGATAGAATACCAGATAGAATGCAAGAAAATATATGAAATATTATATATATATACGTATATGACACGGCGTAGAATGTCAGAAGAAAAGGCAGATGAAGTGTCAGCTGATGGGGCTCACTGGAAGTAATGGATCTGTTGATGCCGGGTGCCTTACTGGCTTCATTCTCAGTTGCCAACAACTACCCAGAGATGCGAGGAAGATCATGGAAGACCATGGAAGTGCAGGCACCCACCAAAAAAATGCCAGGTCCATGGGGAAAATGCCTCCAACTCCCAAGTCACCGAGGAACGGTTTCCAGTCCTCTTCCACATGGCCGTGGGGCGCATCACCGTTGACACTGCGCCTGCGTAGCGCTCATGGGGGATCTTCCAGCCACATTTGATTGCCACCATGACCATGGCTGGTTACTCAGAATGGCCAGTCACTCTCCCTTGCAGCTCAAGGTGGCTCGTGTGCTTGCTCAACTATTCTTGAACCATCCTATTTCTTGTACCCGCTAGAAATGAAAGATTGCAACGGAAAATCCCTTATCAATGGAGCTTTTGAACAGGAACATCATCTGTAAAAGGTGCCAGTAATCCAATACCGGGACCCACACGAACCACTGGTTGATTCCTCTGAAAAAGTGCAAAAGTGCAGCTCCAGGAGGGCTACATTGATGTCACAAATGTCGCGACGTCACTACGGTAGATACATATTGAATATTGATATCCAATTATATCAAATTATCTCTCTGTGAATATTCCATTCATATCCCAAGTTTTTGTTCCAAGTTTTACATTGTTTTACCATGAAATATACCCATGATGCTCCCACCAAAAGGCAACATTGTTTTTTGGTTCAAATCGATCGTCCGCGCCTCACGTACTTGGCGGTGACCCAACCATCCAAAGGTTCGGACAGACCTGAGTCCAACGTGGAAAAATGCCGGGAAGATGCGAGGAAAACGGATGCCTTTCACATGGCAAATGGATGCAAATTGTAATTTTGCTGTTGATAAATGTTGGTCATAATATAGCAATATAATCTGGTTGGTGGTATACCTACCCCTCTGAAAAATATGAGTTCGTCAGTTGGGGTTACTATTCCCAACTGAATGGAAAGTCATTCAAAATTCCATGGTTCCAGTCACCACCAACCAGTAATGCAATACATAGCAAGTCATCCTTATATTATGAGAGTGGAGTCATCTGATCCGTAGCCTTGGGGGATGGTTGATCAGATGTAGGGTCCATTTCCGTTTCTTGTAGTTTTGATGTCATAAGAATTGTGTTGTGAAAAAATGTGGCAATTGAAAACGAAGAGGGAATAAAACATATCCAAAAATGTGATTCTGCCCCCAAAAAGGAAAAACTAATCATATGGTTCTTGGCTTTTTCACTTGGGGTCTGCCTTTTGAATTTTACATGTTGTTTTTTAAATCAAGGTTTTGATTTGATTATTGGGTGAAGCTGCGAAATGGATTTTTTGGCAATATTCATCAATATTCTATATAGATTTTAAAAAGAAATGTGATCGATTTTGAAATTATGTTTTTGAGTTGTATGATATGTCTTATTAAGGCTTTGATTCGAGTATTAGGGGAAGGCTTCGAAATCCAATTTTTGCCATGGATGGTTTTTTTCTAAAAACCAATGGTTTGAGAAAAAAAGCAAATCCTGCAGGAAGCCCATAATGGGTACCCTCTGGTAATTTAACATAGCTATTGAAAATGGCCATAGAAATAGTGGATTTTCCTATTAAAAATGGTGATTTTCCATAGCTATGTTAGTTTACCAGAGGGTAGATCCCATATAGAGATATCTAGATCACCGATGATCACCGAAGAAATGTCCCCCCTCGAAATCGCCCAGGACGGCCCTGGGCCCCAAAACGGAGTCTTAGACGCCCAGAAGCTTCTTGCTCCTGGTGGAAAGCACAGGTTTTGACCATTTTCTTACAGCTTTTCCATAGATGGTGCCTCATGATCGATAAGTCATTGATGGTTTTCTGAGGCATTGGTTTTCTGCGACTCAAAAGACAAATACCCTCTGGTAAACTAACATAGCTATTGAAAATTGCCATTTATAGTGGATTTTCCCATGAAAAATGGTGATTTTCCATAGCTATGTAAACGTTTACCAGAGGGTATTTCGTTGGACTGGGTCAGAACTCAAGGCATGTCATTGAGCCCGAAAAGATGTTTAGGTCTAAAGTTGTGTCGGTGGTGATGCGAACCAAAGGCGTTTTTTTTCAGTTTCAAGGCAAGCCGATATGGGGATGGGTCAAAACCCTGCTACCTAGTCAACCCCAAAATAGCTGGTAAATGGATGTTCATCCCACTACAAATGTTATTAATAGGTATTGACCCATACCCATTTGGTGATGAAAAATCCATGTGGTGTTTGCGAAATGGTCACAGTGCCCCCCTTAGTCACTGGTCATGGATTCCACCTTCTGATCGCTTGGATTCCCTGGCATCTACCCCGGCGTACCTCCACCACCAGCACAACAGTTTGCGGCGGCAGTTCGTCCAACCACTGGCACCAGGCTTGGAAGCAGAATGGGTAGACTATATATGATTTCTATATATGATTTCTATATACAATATATATATATATAATTATATATATACATATATATACACAATTATATACACATAATATGAAGGTTTCCTAAAATTGGGGTACCCCTAGTTATCCATCCCATCCATCGGATCCATTAATGTCTGCCATGGGATCCCGAGAAATTTGACCAATGGTTAAGCCATGGCCCATAGAAATAGAGGATTTTCCCAGCTAGAAACCTCCATTTATTTGTGGGATTTTCCGCTATGTTAAATAACCAGATGGTACCCTTTTCTGGGATCTGGGTAATCAGTCACACGGTTTCTTGGAAATGTCCATGTCCTTCGATGAGACTCTCCGTAAAACCTTCATAAACAGTACGGAATTGCCCAGCTTGCACGGCAATGACAACACGAGTCTGCAGCTGGATTTCCATGATGCCAACTTGCGCCTAATAATAAATTTTGTAAAAGGGCCCGACAAGGCCGTAGTTGGTATGCTTCCGGAGTTTTTCCCATGTTTCCATCACCAGCCCTGAAATATCGACGTTGAGCAGCTTCGGTGTCTTGTTGTGAATTGATCCCATTGAACCGTAGTGAAGAATCCCGGTTTTTCCATATCGTGTTGCACAAATCCCCATGGTCCGCCAATTCTCCCACCTCAGAATCCAGACTCGCACCGGAGCGCACCACACAGGCGTGTTGGCATTCCACCACACCCTTCCATTTCACTGGCCTGAGAGACGGCTAAAACATCTCGCTAGCAAAATGAGGTGATCACCGACCAAAAAATAGGGCTGCTAATGTAGGTGGATACATATATCATGTGTATATATATATATATAATGTATATATATATATATTATGTGTATATATATATATTATGTGTATATATATATATACACTCTAATTTAATGTGTATATATATATACATACAGTATGTGAAACAAAATGGACATCTTTGGACATGGAAATTGCATCCCTAGCAAAGAAAGGGACCATGAACATTTGGGGCCAGCAGCTCACCTTCCTAGAGGCCCTGATTCCAAGTTGAAGGTCATGGGGTCCCATAAAATATGGCTACCCCCTAATGTTCATCCATTTTTATAAGGGCTTCCATTGGTTTTCCATTGGTTTTCCAATCCAGCTATTTTTCAGTACCATTGAAACCTAGATTTTCCCATCTCTGAAACTGCGGTCTTTTCTGAAACTTAGATGCACCCCAATTCTCGCTGAACGAGACTAGAAAATCATGTGTTCCATTGAAAGGGCAATTTCTGGGGTGAAAATGGTCATTGTTTGGGGAACATTTCTGGAGGATCCATTTTGGTGTGATCATCCACATTCATTATCCAATTATGATTATCCAATGGAAAATAGCGATCAGGATTATGTGTATATATATATAGCGATTATATTATATAAATTATATAGATATATCGATTATATATGTATATTATATATATATATACGTGTATATATATATATTATGTGTATATATATATATATTATGTGTATATATATATATTATGTATATATATATCCCTCCAGTATCGGTTCTGTCCTTGATACCAAATAATTCAATATTATATCTCCCTGTCCATATAATCCCTATATTTCTGGTATCCCAATATTTCGTAGGATGACCCTCCAGCAAATGAATACTTGGACTCTGCCAGATCAGCCTTGGATGAGTGAAACCACTCAAAATGGGTCAGGGTCCAACTGTCAATTTACCAGAGGGTAGGAATGTTTATACGACCTATTAACAAAAGGTGATGACTGGGGGATGGTTTATGAAATTGTTTTATCCACATTATCTTGTGAAACTTTACCATGTGGTAACCATTATCAACCGTCAAAAAAAAAAAAAACTGGCCCCTTCCATTTTCAGCCACCGGGCTCCAGTGTTCCATTCAGTTGTCGCCATGTCGGCATCAAAATCTGGGTGAGTTGGTGAGTTTTCCCCTTTTTTGGGCATCGAAACTGAAAAAATCCCACAGATGGCCCCCTAAGGACGAAAGTGAGCCACCAAACGACACAGTTCCTGGGCGCGTTGTCTGAAAACGAGGTCTACTAACTAAATCATCCCATTCATGGGATTGGCACCTACGGAACAATTTTTGATGCAAGAAATGGATGTGTTTTGATGCAATTTATGGGGCAAATGGATGCTCAAACATATTAAAACATCCAGGTGTCCCATAAAAAAGGATCCTTCAAAACTAGGCCAAAAGCCGAAAAATTGGGTCGACCAGTACCTTTGTGGCCTGCGTCTCCCCTTGAGCAGAAAACTGGCGGCCCGAATGGCAGTAATGGCAGTAGACCATGTTTAGTCCCTAGAAAGCATAAAATTTGGGGGGTTGGATAATATAGATATGTATGTAATGTAATGTAATGTAACGTAACGTAACGTAACGTAATGTAATGTAATGTAATTTTATGTATGTATGTATGTATGTCTGTCTGTCTGTCGGTCGGTCTGTCTGCCTGTCTGTCTGTCTGTCTCTGTCTGTCTCTCTCTGTCTGTCTGTCTGCCTGTCTGTCTGTCTGTCTGTCTCTGTCTGTCTCTGTCTGTCTCTGTCTGTCTCTGTCTGTCTCTGTCTGTCTCTGTCTGTCTCTGTCTGTCTGATGCGTGTATGTGTGTATGTGTGTATGTGTATGTGTGTATGCGTGTATGTGTGTATGTGTGTGTAGGTATGTAATGTAATGTCATGTAAATGTAAATGTAAATGTATATGTAAATGTACATGTATATGTAAATGCAATGTAAATGTAATGTAGTGTAATGTATGTAATGTATGTCATGTATGTCATGTATGTCATGTATGTCGTGTATGTACTGTATGTAATGTATGTAATGTATGTAATGTATAGGATGTATGGAATGCATGGAATGCATGTAATGTATGTAACGTATGTACGGTATGTAATGTATGTAATGTATGTAATGCATGTAATGTATGTAATGTATGTAATGTATGTAATGCATGTAATGTATGTAATGTATGTACGGTATGTACGGTATGTAATGTATGTAATGTATGTAATGCATGTAATGCATGTAATACATGTAATGGATGTAATGTATGTAATGTATGTAATGCATGTAATGTATGTAATCTATGCAATGTATGTAATGTATGTAATGTATGTAATGTTTGTAATGTTTGTAATGTATGTAATGCTATGTAATGTAATGTATGTAATGTTATGTAATGTATGTAATGTATGTAATGTATGTAATGTATGTAATGTATGTAATGCATGTAATGTATGTAATGTATGTAATGTATGTAATGTATGTATTGTATGTAATGTATGTAATGTATGTAATGTATGCTATGGTATGGTATGGTATGTATGTATGTAATGTATGTATGTAGGTAGGTATGTATGTATGTAGTGTTATGTAATGTTATGTAGTGTTTTGTATGTAATGTTAAATATGTAATGTTATATATGTAAAAAAAGGATCTAATTTTTTGTATGTAATGTAATGTATGTAATGTATGTAATGCATGTAATGTATGTAATGTATGTAATGTATGTAATGCATTTAATGCATTCACTGTATGTAATGCATGAAATGCATGTAATACATGTAATGGATGTAATGTATGTAATGTATGTAATGTATGTAATGTATGCAATGTATGTAATGCATGTAATGTATGTAATGTATTTAATGTATGTAATGTTATGTAATGTTATGTAATGTTATATATGTAATGTTATGTATGTAATGTATATAATGTATGTAATGTATGTAATGCATGTAATGTATGTAATGTATGTAATGTATGTAGTGTATGCTATGGTATGGTATGGTATGGTATGTATGTATGTATGTAATGTATGTATGTAGGTAGGTATGTCTGTATGTAATGTTATGTAATGTTATGTAGTGTTATGTATGTAATGTTATATATGTAATGTTAAATATGTAATAATATGTATGTAATTCTATGTATGTAATGCAATACATGTTATGTATGTAATGTATGTAATGCATTTAATGCATTCACTGTATGTAATGTATGTAATGTATGTATTGTATGTAATGTATGTAATGTATGTAATGTATGTAATGTATGTAATGTATGTAATGTATGTAATGTATGTAATGTATGTAATGTATGTAATATATGTAATGTATGGAATGTATGTAATGTATGTAATGCATTTAATGCATTCACTGTATGTAATGCATGAAATGCATGTAATACATGTAATGGATGTAATGTATGTAATGTATGTAATGTATGTAATGTATGCAATGTATGTAATGCATGTAATGTATGTAATGTATTTAATGTATGTAATGTTATGTAATGTTATGTAATGTTATATATGTAATGTTATGTATGTAATGTATATAATGTATGTAATGTATGGTATGGTATGGTATGTATGTAGGTAGGTATGTATGTATGTATGTAATGTTATGTAATGTTACGTATGTAATGTTATATATGCAATGGTGTGTATCTAATAATATGTATGTAATTTTTATGTATGTAATTTTATGTATTATGTAATGTAATGTGTGTAATGTATGTAATGTATGTAATGTACAGTATGTAATGTATGTAGTGTATGTAATGTATGTATTGCATGTAATGTATGTAATGTATGTAATGTTATGCATGTAATGTATGTAATGTATGTAATGTATGTAATGCATTTAATGCATTCACTGTATGTAATGCATGAAATGCATGTAATACATGTAATGGATGTAATGTATGTAATGTATGTAATGTAAATGTAATGTAATGTAATGTAATGTAATGAAATGTAATGTAATGTAATGTAATGTAATTAATGTATGTAATGTATGTAATGTATGTAATGTATGTAATGCATGTAATGTAATATTAGGTAATGTTATGTAATGTTATGTAATGTTATGTAATGTTATGTAATGTATGTATGTATTAGTGTAGTGTCGTGTCGTGTCGTGTCGTGTAGTCTAGTACAGAGTATTGTAATGTATTGTAATGTAACGCAACGCAACGTAACGTCTTGTAATGTATGTATGTATGTATGTATGTATGTATGTATGTATGTACGTATGTATGCATATATACATATGTATGTGTGTATGTCTACAGTTTGTATTTATATAGTACGTGTATATATATATTATATAATGTACAGTATTTATATATATATATATAATGTATTCAGTGTGTATATATACAGTACATTATGTATACAGTGTATGTAATGTTTCTATTTCTATAGTACTGCAGTTAGAGATACAAATGCACTTACCCCTTTGCATGTACTCTGACCAAATCCTCGTCCAATCACAAGCCTTCTTGGTTTGCCCCCACTTTTTTCAACAAGAGTTGATAATGAGGCCATATCATGCCTCATTTTTGTTGACCAAAAATGGGATGCTTCTACTCTCAAAACATGATGTGAGTTTTTCAGTGACCCGTCTCTGATTCCGAGGCTTCTCCGGGGACTTTGGATCCAAATATTGCCGACATCAAAATATCAAGCAACAGGTAGATCCTAAAAAAAACTGAACCAGAAACTTTATCCCATGACTAGTACCAAACACCATGGGTTTTAGTGGATGGCCCATTGAATCTCCCATGGGTTTTTTAAGTAACGGCGAGTACTCCAGCCATCCCCAGTTGATCAAATCTCGGGATTTCAATGGCGTGGCGCGAACGTGTTTGTTTCCTGTCAGAGAAAGCACCTGAGCGCCGGCCCCGGTGGGGACGGTGATCTGGGGAAATGGGCAAATTATAGGAAAACCCATAGGAAAACCCATAGGAAAAGGTGATCATGTTCGCTGTTAAAATTATAATTTTGGGGAATTCTGGCAGCATTTTTACAGATGAAACCTACTCCATGATCCAGTGGCCTGTTTTTTTCTATGATTCATTGGTAAAACCACAAACCATATATTGGGGTGTACCAAGCATTTTTAGACACACCCAAATATCATGTGAGGGTGGCAAGAATTGCATTGTTATAGACATTTAATGAGGATATAACGGGGGATATAGTGGGGAGATCATGGGGGGTTCTTCATCGATATGACGGGGATAGAATGGGGGTATGCCTGGCGATAGACCGGGGACATAATGTGTATTTGATGGGGATATACCATCTGGTTATTTAACATAGCAACGGAAAATCACAATTTTTAATAGGTAAACCATCTATAAATGGGCCATTTTCCATGGCTATGTTAAATAACCAGATGGTAATTAGTGGGAAAGAACCATTCCCATTTTGTGGATTATGAAATTGGGTATGCAGTCACCGACAAGGGAAATGAAAAAGTGAAGAATTTGGGTCCATGAAAATCTCAGCCTGAGATCCCGTCATAGTGCTGCTAGAGAACGCCACGGCCAGGAAAGCATCCAATTTTCAGCAAAAGAACCAATATGGGTATGGATCAATACCTATTAATACCATTTTTAGGGGGATGAACATCCATAAATCCCAGCTATGACTTGGGGTTCACCAGGGGTACTATTGGTTTTGACTCATAGCCATATGAAATGGAGAATCCCAAAGCCCATAAAGTCCGTTTGCCTACGATTCGCTGTTGGCACTCAATCATGTATTTGGAGCCTTCACACAATTTTCATGATAAATTGTAGCATAGACAGCTGCAAAGCCCCTCCAAAAGAAATCTGAACCATACACATTATTATATCTGATGTTTTATTACATTGTATCGTAGAAAATTATTTCGTATCATATCATATTATATCATACTATATATATTATCTTATATAATATTCTATTGTAAAATCATACTATGATTATATTATATATAACTACAATTTATCACATCATATCATATTATGGCATATTATATTATATTCTAATCATAACATGTTTTAAATTTTGTTATATTATTTTATATTGTAGTGTATACCAGTATGATAAACTATATTATATATAGTATATCATGTTTTATATATCATATATCGTATATTTTAAACTATATATTATATATTGTATATTATAATACATATTATATATCGTATAGTTTGAATTATATATTTAAAATTAAATATTATATATCATATATTATGTAATAAATATTATATATTATATATTATACACATATTTTTATGTTATAAATTAATTAGTATAAACTATACATCATAAATAATATATTAAAACACTGTATCATAAGATAATAGATTATATTATGTAATACCATACTATATCATATTAAATCATATTATATCATATTATACTATATTCTAATATATTATACTGTCTTATATATTATTATAGTAAAATAGACTATAAGTTATATTATATTACATTACAAATTATAGTTGTAATTATAGTTATAATTATAACTGTAATCATACAATATAATATGAAATCATATAATATAATATCATATTATATTGTATCATATCATGTGTATATTTTAAGGACCCTGATCCACAACATCCCGCGTTTTACGATGCCTGCCGCCTGCGGAGCATGAAAATTCTATCGTCTCTCCACCCCCCCCCAATGGGTTGGGGGGCGGGTAGGCCACTACCAGCCACAGGGGGGGGAAGGGGAAAGATATCATATATATATATATATACATAGCGTATACGAGCGAAGGGTTTAAGTCACATCAGTTGGGCAGAAGTCACATCAACCCCATGTAACAGCGAGTTGGAAGAAAGTCACATCAACTGGGCAAAAGTCACATCAAAATATCAAAATCCCAATGGCACACCGGCTTTCAAGGAATGTTGTTATATCTCCAAAAATGAAGAAAACATTGCGCACACTGAGGTATTCACATATGTTTAAACTATGTTTTCAAAGGATATATTTAGGAATCACCATGGCACACGGCCTCCCAGATCTTTAACTTTGTTTCCTAACAAACATAGATTTCCATGTAATAGCTATGGGCAACATCATCATATCAACAACGTTAAAATCTGAAAACCCAGTGGCACACCGCTGTCAACATCCGCTTCCGCTTGAATGTTTCATAAGTTCTGCCTTCTGTAAACAGTCCCTCTCTCTGCTGGCGTCTCCCGCCCGTATCTCCCGCCAGCGCCAAACAAGGCGACCGAGACTGTAGTTTTCTTTTTCGGCAAAATGTTTGCACCAGCGGCAGCAGCAGCAGGAGGAAGCAGCAGCAGCAGCAGGAGGAGGAGGAGGAAGCAGCAGCAGGAGGAGGAGGAAGCAGCAGCAGCAGGAGGCAGCAGCAGCAGCTTTTTCCAGGCGCACGGCCTCCCGATACAACTTCTACGAGCTGATACGACTTAACGCTAGGGCTAGTAGGGTCAAATAGAATCATGTCAACAAAACATTGCGCACAGCGATGTTAAAAAGTGTTCGAATCAATAACCCATCAAATAAAGAACTATCAAAATCTATACGAAACACTGCGCGCACGCAGGTGTGATACGACTTCAGGTCGATTGATACGACTTAAGCCTAGTGGTAGTACATATAAAATATACATAGATATATATATATATATATATATTTATACACACACCACATATATATATATATAGATTATGTATGTCGTGTACAAAGCATATACTATACGTACCTAATACTACTAAATATTACATACAGAAAACCTAACACTACACACCTAATAGATACCTTGTATAACCTAATACATACCTAATATACTACCCATTGCATGCCTATATACCTATACACCTACATTATTTACAACCATATGTAATTCCCAATACTATATACTATACACCTAATATCTATTGACTACCAATTTACATAACTACCACCCCCCCACCACCACAGCCATTACCACAGGGGGGAGGGGGGGTACCCACCCCTGGGGGGGTGGCAATAGAAAAGTTGGAAACGTGAAAACTATAAGGAAAACATCCTTTGTATATAAATATAATACACCATCCTGGAAATACTGTTCCATTTTTTGGGGGTTGCTATAGAAATATGATAAAAATATGTCTATATGATGCCCTTATGAGGAAACTGTAATCATGAGAATTATGCAAAAATCAAAATAAGTCCCATGGTCTAGCAAAATCCTTGACTGTTTTGGGATTTCAGCAGAAATCCCATAAGTCCGAGAGAAAAATCTGGAAAGTTCAACCCTCATCCTGACCTTTTCCATCGAATTCTATGACCATACCAGTGGGAACTTGAAATAGCACTGGTTGATGGTGATACCCTCTGGTAATTTAACAGTTTGCTGTTGAAAATGGCCCAGTCGAAATAGTGAGATTTCCCATGAAAAATGGTGATTTTCCATAGTTATGTAAACGTTTACCAGAGGGTATGTGGTGATTCTCGTTTGGATCCCACATGCCCGGCAAGGCCCGGCGTCTCGGGCACCTGTCCACCGATGGGAACACCTGGTGCAAAGGTTGAAAGGCGCGCCGCGGTGGCACCTGCAACAGGGGCTCGGGCTTGAGCCCGGCGTCGTTTCCCCTCGGGCCCTGACGCATCCCCAAGGTTCTGAACCAAAACGAGTCATTCACAACGTCATTCAAAACGGGTTTTGTTTTAGCTGATTTGGATGGTGAAATATTCTGAAAACATCTGACGCATAGCAGGTTTCCAAAGTAACTATGCTGTAGAACATAGCAGGTTGTGGAGATGGGGGAGTTTCCCGGCTTCCCAGTAGCGAAATCTCACCATCATTAACCATCTACCAGAGCTGGCCAACCTGCCCATCCGCTTTCAGCAGCGCCACCTACACGAAAAAGCTGGTCGCTTTTGAGCTATCATTCCATTTTTTGGGCTGAAAATAACAAATGTTTCGAACCACCAGCTGGTATCGTTGTAACTTAGAGTGTATCAAACACAACGAACGACGATTCGCTCTGGCTATGTTCAGGATCTGCCACATCCTTTCATCTTTCGCTGACAAACAGTTGCCATTGCCCCGAAAAGGAAAGTTGAACCAACAAATGTGTGGGGTAAAAGCTGCACAAAAATGCGCCTTTATGATTCCTAATTCATGTAAGAAATCATCTCTGCTGAAGCCATTTTCATGACTTAGGAATGGATGAAACATGGATGGTCATATAACCCATATTTAACCATCTCTAACTTTTAACTATGACTATTCTCTGTGGCTATACAAAAAATGGTCATGGCAGGAATCCACGAAGGTTCCGTGCTGATTTCGGCTCCCAACCTCGCTTTGATCCTAAACCCACTACTGGGAGCACACCTCCAAATGCTCCTTGAAGAAGCCGGCCCTCAGCGGCTGATGTCACTGAAACCCATGAGGCTAAAGGCCAAAAAACTAGATGATTCACCACTGATCCCTATCCTTAGGGTCAAAATGGTTCAAATCCCTATTTCAATATAAACATAATTATATATATATATAAAGATGCAGCCACTGCTTTTTGTTTCACTTCGCAGCAAATGTTTCAAATAATAAGAAATACAACTCCAAAACAAAAGCAAAAAAGAGTACATCTGATCCCATCTCAAGGACATCCTCTAACCAGTCGGGCCAGACCCCAGACATGGTCAGAAAAATGCATTCTGTCACCTGGGAAGCCGAGCCAAACCTCCTGGCCCCATTGATGATCAAGAAAATCAGTGTACTCTTTGATCAGTCTTTCACACAGAAAAAAGAAGATTCACAGCAAGCGGTTTTTGACGCTTGATTTTCTGCTCTGTCTACCTTTCCTTCCTCCCGAAAGCAGGAGGAAGCCACAGGAGTAAAGACTCCCGGGCGGGATGGGAAGGGAGCTTGAACTGAACACTGAGGAAACAAAACAGTACGTTATGCATCTTAACTACCGGGGCCGTAGATACAAAGATGCAGCCACTGCTTTTTGTTTCACTTCGCAGCAAATGTTTCAAATAATAAGAAATACAACTCCAAAACAAAAGCAAAAAAGAGTACATCTGATCCCATCTCAAGGACATCCTCTAACCAGTCGGGCCAGACCCCAGACATGGTCAGAAAAATGCATTCTGTCACCTGGGAAGCCGAGCCAAACCTCCTGGCCCCATTGATGATCAAGAAAATCAGTGTACTCTTTGATCAGTCTTTCACACAGAAAAAAGATCCTCCTTAAAAATAGGGGGGTGGGGTCAGGGCTGGCCATTGTGTAGTGGACCCAGGGTACCCCTCTACAAAAAGGGTCATTCAAAGAATGTACCCCTCTACAAAATGCTATGTACCTTATTCCCCTCTACAAAGTGACCAGATCATACACCCAAAATTGAGCTGAAAAAACAATAAAAAACATAGTTGGAACAGGTGGTTTCTACAAAATGATGCCAAAACTGAATTAGGTCCCCCGTTTGTACTCCCCAAATTGGTTTTTTGGAACATATTTTGTAGAGGCACAACTTGGTACAAACAGCCCTTTTCCATACTGTCCGTTGCGCTGATGCCATAATATCATCTCAGTTGGATTCACTTTGCCTTTCGCTTTTTCAGCGATGAATTGAGGCAATGTTTGCAACATTGCAAGTCGAACACCTCATTTTTTTTTGGAATGCTGAAGCAACATTGATCAAGATGAAAAGATTTTCCGGCCCGGCTCACATAAAGAACCTCTGGAAGATATAGCCGTTGATGGCCATCATCATCACGATCATCTCGGGGCTGCGCATTGCCAGAAAACAGCCGCTGGAAGCAAAACGTCAGCAGCACTCCAAGGGAAAACGCAGTCAGCAGAAGCAACTCAAATTCTGCCATCGCAAAGGCAAGTTCTCTGGATCCTAATCTCTGTCCACGCAAGGCCCAAAACCTAAAACGATCCAAATGGCTCAAAACGATTCCGATCGACGCAGTACACTGCAAGTAGATGCACAAATATCTGATCATCGTTGTTTTCAACACATGATAAATCACTACAAAATGATGCTGCCTAGGTTGTCCTCTACAAAATGATTGGATCAAGCTCCCACTCATGCAACCACCACACCCCTGGTCGAATTCTTATTTTCCCCCATGCAAGCTCTTCTTGCTGTTGATCTCGAACGATACATCTAAAGCACATGTGTGCTAATTTGCATTTGCGACATCTGAGCCGGGGTTATCACATCATCAACTAACAAAAGCATTTTGTAGAGGGTTCCTTTCTTAAGAGTTTTTGTAGACAAAATATGTGGATATATGTGGTAGAAGTATGATGAAGTATGTAGAAGTGCTGTGCAATCAGCATCGTCAAACCCCGGCACCAGCGATCCCAGCGATCTCTGTCTAAGACAGTCGATTCTGTGACCTGGCTCTACACAGTCTATTTGTTTAACTGTTCTTTGGTGCGCATGGCCACAACGAAATCTATCAAATGTTTCAAAAGCTGGAGAAATCCCTGGCGGGAAGGGTCCTTACCATCCCCACCTTCAAGTTGCTTCAGGATGCCCTTGAACAATTTGTCCACAGCGTCTCCGTAGATCGTAGGCTGCTTCAGATTGATGTACCTGCAGCGGAGTGACTGGGACCTACGGAGTAAACATGTATATAGATGTATATAGATGTATATAGAATTATATAGAAACAACTCTAGCTGACGATCAAAACCATTGGAAATCTATGGGAATTCTATGGAAATCTATCGCAAAATCTCAGAATGTCAAAGAATGATAAAGAATGTCTATCTGAGATACATTGTCTCAAGGCAAGCAGGTGCATGGAGCAGAATGTCCTTCCACTTCGTGACACGGGCTGCTTCATACTGCATCCTGCAAAACCCCTCGGTGTCAAACAATGGGTTCTCTTTGAACATCCTGCCCTCCAGCTGGCGCAACTCCGTGAGCCTGGACTGGATTGTTGCTCTGCCACGTGTAGTTCGGTTGATGGGATCGGGTTCACCTTCCTTACCGGGCTTGCAAACTGGGGCCTCCTTGGCCACCTTCTTCTTCAGCCGCTTCTGCACAGCAGCCACACGCTTCATCACTCTCCTGGCATTGAGTTTTCTCCTGGGTCCAGCCACAGGCTTGCACTTTGCCTGGGCCACCTTCCGCCTTCCACGAGCCATGGTTGGTTCTACTGGCCAAGTTTCCAATTCTGGCACGCGAGCCAAAGCCTCAGCGCTCTCTTCGGACAACGTCACCTTCATGTAGCCATCATGGCGGTTGGGCTCTGTACCTGGAAAAATGATCACACATGGGGTTACAAAGCTCTACAAAATGGGGTGGTCTGTCCTGGCATCTACAAAATGGGTTAACACCGACAAGGCAATATATGTGTTGTGCCCTCTGCATTGCTATCATGTAGCCATTTAGCTAGATCAATCATCATCAATCATCATCATCATCATCAATCATCATCCATACCGTGCGCAGAGATGGGCAAAGGGTCCAATTGCAGAAACAAGTCATTTTGTAGAGACCACCCATGTCTCCAACATTCTGTTGTGGAAACCCTAAAACCAGAAAATACGATCAAAAACAAAAACAATCTTGTGATTCTTTTGTGCCAAACTGCTCTGCTCACAGTCCAGCAGGGTGATCAAGCTTTCAACACGCACTACCCAGGCACGACTGGTGCAATTGCACTGCCAATCCACCGTGGGCATCTGCCTCTCATCACAGATCTGGAGCTCGACAATGCGCAGAGCCGGGCACGAGTTGATGGCCACTGCATCACAATAGACTTTGGGCTGCTTGATGCCGCGCCATGTCGTCAAGACCAGACCAACTTCAATGCTGGATGGGGATGTCGGTGTATGGAAAAGGACAAGGTTCCCAGGCCTCAGCCACTGGAAAAAATAGGGGCAACAAACTCATACAAATTCAAACAAAATAACGCTGGAAACCAGGGTTTCAGAATGTTTTGGATGGTTTTGGATGGTTTTGGATGGCTTTGGTGATTTTATATGATTTTACATGATTTTATATGTTTTTATTTTGTCTTCTGGAAAGTTGGAACCGGAACGACTTTAAACTATTTCAAAATAGTTCAAATTCATTTCAAGAAACGAGACCGAATCCAGCTCAGATGGCGGGAGCGACCAATCGGCCCTGGCTTGCCGAGACAGCTCCCTCCACTTGTCAAGTCTGGAACAACGGCTCCTGTATTCCGTGGTCTCGCTTTCAGCATTCAACTGGGCAATGATGCGCTCATTGTACCTCCAGCATCATGCGGCCTCTACAAAATGGTATGGACAGTATGTGTACTACAAAAAGGATCACACAGTGTGAAGATCATGGAAAGGATCTTTTTGGGGTGCTGGAGGTTGAACTCAAAAATACTCCAAAATGAGTAGCTACTGATTAGATCATAATTAGTTCTGTATAGTTCTGTGGGAAACCGACATTGGTTCTAAATGTTTTTGATTATATTGGAACAAACATTGACAAACCATTTTGTAGAGGGATGAACTGCATGACTGCATTTTGTAGGGGACCCGACTGTTCTGCATCCACCATCCACACTCCCCCATCTGAATCTTATTCAAGCATATTCAAGCCACTGGAACCAGTTCAATCGCTTTGATGCCCTTCGGCAGTTGCGTGCATTCTTCAGGAATCCCAGATCTGATCCTCCAGCGCTGTGTCTCATCCTGATAGCGAAGCGAAGCAGACCGTTCCACGGGCAAGTCTTTGGCAGGGAGAGCGCATCCTGCAAGGTGTCCGGCAAGTAGTTGGCCAAGGAACTCCTTGGAGGTGACCTCTGGGCTTCAGTGCAGAAAGGCTCCTCAGCTCCATTTGCATCAGTTAGCTTCATCAGGCTCTCTCTGTCAGGAAGATCCAAATCCTCATCCACAACCTCTGTCGTTGGATCTGCATCGCATTCACGATCCACGTCCGCAAAGGATTTGGCCTGCTGCACATCTGCCAAGACATGCATGCACTGGTCAACGGCAGGGGTCTCAGCGGGAGCTTCAAACTCCTCCTCCTCTGCGCTCTCAAAGACGCCATCGGTGAAGTAAGTCTCTGACTCACAAGCCTTTCGGTACATGGCCTCCAAACGGACAACTGAAATCCCAGAGCAAAGCTCTGCCAGCTTCAGGGCCGCGTTGAAGCCATTCTCGCAACACTTCTGAAACCTTTGCAGGGTTGCGTGTTTTTGAAGCAAAACAAAGTGGCTACAAAATGGCATGGCCAAGTATACCCCTCTACAAAATGCCATGGACAATTGCAAACCTTAACTTCAACTACAGTTTTTCCAGGATGTTCCAAGTGTATCTGAGGTATCACGAGGATTCATGAGATACCTACAGTACATGCTGCCGCATGCATATCACATTCATATACATTAATGATGATGCTGATGAGGCACTCCTCCTCCGTGAGAGCTGGCTCCTGCTTTGCAGACCCGGACCCCTTCATCTTTTTGTTCAGTTCCTGGCCGGCTTTGATAGATAAACGAGCGTCACTCTGAAAAAAGGACCGGGCACTGACCTGTGAGTTCTGGGATTGTGCTCGGACAAATCCGAAGCCTTGTTCGATCGTTATCTCTGATAACCGTGCAAAACCGAACCCCCATGGACAGAACGACGGTGGCTTGCTGCATGCAATGGCCAGCACTGTCAGTGCTGCCCCCTGGACATTGTGGCACGTTTGGGGCGCCATGTATTGGGATCCCGTGGGAACTCCCAATTCAGACGCTCGGGTCTTCCCGAGCATCCTGAAAACGTCAACCGCCACGAACCCTGCGGCTGCTGTCTCGCAACGTTCTTGGAGGCGCCACTCCCTGTTGATGCATGGTGACAGGCACATAGCCATGGTGACATTGTGTATCAATGCGCCCTTCAGCGACCAGCACAGTGACAGGTCAGCAAGATGTCCTTCCTGAAAGGGCAGCCGTTCTGTGACAGAAAATGCCTGAAAAATCAAAAGCACGCATAAACATCCCATGCTTCAAAGTAAACTTAAAAATTGAAAACCACATGCATAATCCCAAGACCAGCTTCCACCTCCCTTACATAGTAGTAAGGGTTCATCAACAAACAGTTGAGTCTGTCAGACATAGGGTTTGATCTTGCCAGTGCCGATGGGGGCATTCCGTTCGACCTTGATCCTGTCAGGTCCACAAAAAGGTCGCCGTACTGCACCGTTCTGAGCACCGACTGAACTTGACCACTGGCGTTTTTGGCACTGTGACCTTCCGAACGGATGCGAAAGGATGCGAAAGGTAAAGTCTACAAAATGGGGTGACCACCACCTGCCACCCCCAAACAGGAATCCAAAGGATACTACATGCCTAATTATAATTAATCATATGTATTGGATTGGATTGGATTGTGTTGGCTATATTGGATTGAATTAGTAAGAAACATGGAAAAACCCAATAAGATATAACAATATTATATAATATTCATTAATATTCAATTCAGATATATTCAGATATAAATCAACAAGCCCAGGCGCAGGGACCGGGCAGGCCGTACACCGGTTCCCCACTGCCGTTGAAGCACAGCTGCACGGGGAGTCGTGGTAGACAAGTCTTCGGCAAGGGGGCCCACGTCAAGCTTTTGAAATACGGGATCTCAGACACCGCATGCATGTCTACATCATCCAGCTGCCCATGTAGCAGCCGACGCACCAGCTGGTGGGTCCCGTGACCGTCGTAGACAATGCCACGAACCAAGTTGCGGGAAGCGGCCAAGACACGGCCCACGGTTTCCAAAACGGACCACTGGCCACGCTTCTCTGATTGCAAGCCGCCGTAGCTGTTTGGAACCGGCATGCTGCAAACTGGTAGTGCAATTTTCTTGGGCAAGCATGGGTTCCAACTCAAGAACTGCATCATCGATGGTGCTCTAGGAATGCCCTTCACGTCCTGGTCCTCCTCAAGGTCCAGGAAGCCATGGTCTTCAAGATGTGGTTCCCAGCAACCTCCAACAAGTCCATGACGGCGATGGAGAGAGAGTTGACAGAGTGACTGCGTCAAGTACGTGCAGTCAAATGCCAGCCAAAATCTGCCTCAGAAAACAAAAGGCTTATGAACAAGCGATCCAGCCCTACAAAAAGGGGTGGCCAGTGTCTACCATCTACAAAATGGCCTCACAATGATCAGCTGGAACCACAATGGTTCGATGAGGGAAACAGATCTGAACCCCTTATGCGCTCTATATTTATCTATTATGTATTTGTATTTATTTGTAACAAGTTAATGGTCCCTCATATTTTATGTGCCTAAGTCGTTTTGTAACACGGGGATCTGTTCAATTCATTTTGTAGGAGATGTATGGGGATGTAATGTCTCAAAGTTCAAGCTGGATGACCATCCTTTTTATCCTTTTTATTCCTTTTTATCGTCCTTGACAGAACATACTTGAACATACTTGAACCACAACGGCCCACTCCTGATCAAGTTTAGACCCAGAAACATGAGCTCTCGGTCTTTGTCTGGAGGTAGCGCTGGCCCATCAATGCCCAGTTCTCCTCCATGACTCCAGGAAAAACCAAAGCCAACGGTGCTGTGGGCAACGACAGTTCATGAAGCCTGTCGATGGCATTGGGCAAGCTCCCCGACAATCCAAACCTTGGCAAGGATGGCAAAGATTGGCAAAGTACAATGGCTGAGGGGGAACAAGAAATCCCTAGTCAAAAACATTAAACAACAAAATCAAATCATACCAAATCTATCAAACTCTCAAAAATATTCATAAACAAAATGCAGGCAGGAAGCTTTTTCGCCAGCTGCTTGTTGCCACAAGCCATTGCTAGAGTTAATCCAGCGTCTTGCGCCAAGATCATCTCCGCATTGGTCCAATCTTTGGGCTTCCTTCCTTGCATGCCACGGCCCTCCTTGTCAATTTTTCTGAGGCACTGCAAGGACATGCCCTGCAGCAGTGGGTGTGCCTCAAAAGTCCCACCCAAGTGGGCCAGTGCGAGCCGCAGGTTTGCAGCCTCAGACTCTGCCATATGTCCACTGGCAAGGCATGCAGAAAACTTCGCCAAGGTAGTAGTAAAGGAATCAGGAAGTGACCGTGGGTTGATGTGAAGGCAGGGATGCACCACTGTGGCGATGAAATCCTTCTGGACTTCAGTGATACTCTCTTGGGGAAACGAGGTCCACGAAGCCCGGACGATTTGCTGAAGCTGCCATGTCGTGCATGTCAACTGCTTCTCCATCTTGGGTGGGTCACAGGCGTACGTCCCTGACGATCTGATCTCAGCTTCGACATCCTTGGCAGCATCAGGCTCCAGGAAAAGCCGTGCTGAGAGCAGCTTTGCTGGCCAATACTTGATGCCAAACTTCGTGATGGTGCGGCTAATGCTGTGGCAATGCCCCAACTTCAGGCACTCGTCGCAGATCTCGGACTGCTGTGTGTTCGGCCTGCACTTCTTCAGGCATTTGTGGGACCTGATGCACCAGGAGGAAGCATTGGCGTCGTAGAAGTAGCTGTGCTTTGCCCATCTCTCAATGTTGGTCATAGTTGCCCATACTTGAAACTCACGCCGCAGTGCGTACAAGCGGCCACTCCTCGGCCGATCGCTCACCATCAATCCTGGGCAGTCCACCAACTGCTCCTCGTCTGCCTGCTTGGCCTTGCTCAAATTCTCTTTATGCATTCCACTGTTGAGGTGCCTCGTGAGAAAATGTTTGATGGAGGCAGGCTTCACTAAGTCCCCTATCTTTCCTTCTGGGTAACCACCAGTGCGGCAAATATTGCACCGAAAAGGAAGCTTTCGACCATACTCTCCAGGTTCGAGCAAGGTGATGGTGGGAGATAGCGACCTGGCAAACACAAAAGGATCTTCAGGCTCAGCCGGGTCTGGACAATCTGGTTCTTTGTCAACACTTTCTGGCTCGGCTTCAAGCCCCAAAACCTCACCATTCACAGCACGCTCAGCTAACTCCTCCAGCTTGTCAGGGCAGATCTTGTAGACCCTGATGAATTCCTTGCACGCCGAGCACTCAGACTCAACGTCCTTCTTCTGCAGGAGATTCTTCTGGAGTTTGACATAGCCACCCTGTGGACATTTGGTAGCTTTCTTGAGCTCAGCCATCCTGAAGCAAACGGGGCTGACAAGGCCTACAAAATGGTATGATTGACTGACACTCTACAAAATGGGTTAGATAGAGATATTTTGATGGATTTTGATGGAGGTCCATGAATGAAATCCCCTCTGAATTCATTAAATTGAGTTGATATTTTTCATAATGTGCTTGATCCATAAAATAGGGGTGTGCTTACAGCATTTTGTAAAGGCAAATCCCACACATAGCAAATTGTAGATCGAAAATTCATACAGCTGAATTTAATTGAATTTATATAACTACAATCCGGTTGCCAATCAACCCTTGCCGTGATGGCCTATGGTGAACCTTCTGGAAGCTCGGCCACGTAGCCCCGAGGGAGTTCAAGTAGGTCTTGACCGTTTTCTCTTGGATGTCCTCGACATTCTGGACCTTGCTTTTGACACTCCTGCTGTGCATCTGACGCTGGATGCGCTGGGGATGAAGAAGTTTTCGAACATTGCCCACATCATCGTCCAACAAGACCATATTGGCATCTGCCTCTCTGAGTTCCTCCTCATCCACAGCTGGGGTGTTCTTCTCGGCCTTCTTGTCACCACGCTTGCTCTTGACCTTGGGCAGTTCCTCTTCTGGCTCTTCTTGCTCTTCTCCCTCTCGAAGAATGACCTTGGATTTGGCTCTTGCCATGAGATGGTTCTTTTCCTTGGCTTTGCCAAAGGCAGCACGCCGGGCGCGCTTGCGATGATGATCCAAGTCTTTCTCAGGAGATACATCAGGAGCAAAGCGAATCTTCCCGGGCTGACGAGGTGGCGTTTTCTCTCCACTGGGCAGGTCATCCTTGAGCTCGGCTTGGGGCGCAGCAGGCCCTCTGACACCCGACAGCATGAAGTGGTGGAAGACACGCATCCAATCTTCATCCTTCTCCGCTGACACTGACTCCCACAGCGTTTTCAACGCCTCTCGGAGCTCCATAACTTCACCATGCCCTTGCACCGTGTTCAACGTGGCCTGGAAGCCCTGTCTCAAAGCGATAGTGGACCACAGACCACAATTTCCATCTCCGGGGACAATTTTGGGGATCAATCCAACTTGGAACATCTGGTTGACAGCTTCGACCTCATTCCGCAACTGCGTCTTCTCATCCATCAAGCTGAAAAGGTTGGCCTCTGCCTCCTCCTGCTCATCCTCCTCAGCGTTCTGGAGAACATCCAATGCTTTCACAATTGATGCTGAAAGTGTCGCTTCTCGATTGCGATGCCGAGAGACCAATGTCAAGCGGGCAACCTCCCAATCATGATCCAATTGATCTCTGTGCCATGCCGGAATGAAATGATTCAAAGTCATCAGGCCTGCCCGTTTCCAGTCCAAACGGCAAGCCACATAGAACCAAGTGTCTGAGCAGCCAAAATCTGGCATGGCACACTCTGGCTGCCCGCACATTCTCTGAAGCAAAGCTGTCAAACATTGAAGCCTTGGAGGGCCCGGCTCATCGAAGAAGGCAACCACTGCTTTCTTGCCTACGTGGTGCGAAAGGAGGGCCAGGTCAGGCAGGGAAAGGTACTCCGCATCGCGACTGATAAGCTGCCCGTAACGCAGCATTTCATCCTTCACCTTCCCGATCTCAGGTTCATCACTGGCTTGCTGTCCAGGTTGTTCACTGGCTTGCTGTCCAGGTTGTTCACTGGCTTGCTGTCCAGGTTGTTCTGCCCCTGCTTGAACACCAAGCGGCTCCTTCTTCACACCGACACAAGGATTCTTTGCCGGGTCCTGGACATCAACACGTCTGGGCATGTCTGGGCAGCATCCCTGTATGAGAGGTGCTTGGATTGCCTTGGGACTAACTACAAAAAGGGGTGGCCAGCGCCTGAGATCTACAAAATGGATCAACTAGATCAACAAGATTCAACCTGCTACATGCATCTACAATTACCTACATGCAGAGCCAAGAAAAATGATTTCTTTGGATTTCCCTGGATTTCTATGGATTTCTGGGGTAAGAAATTGTCAATTATGGGGGGGACCCTTTCCGAGATCAAAAATATTAATTCTTGAATGGACGCGTGCTATTGAAAATGAACCGTTTTGAACTGCAGTCGAAATATAATTTTTAAATCATTTTTATTCATTTTTGTTAGCCCAACTCTGGGGTATACGTAGATAGCTGTTTGGCTGGCGGTGTCTGCTCCGGGGCTTCCCCCAGAAAATCTGGAAAAAAAAGGACATGTCCAGATCATTACAGTATATATCATTATCTCATCCATTCTGTAAGCAAGTGATCTGGTAAGTACATTTTGTAGGGTCCTATTAGATCCTATTAGATCCTACTAGCCTATGGAACTGCCCCCTCAGAACCTGTCGCAGCCCTCCAGTGAGCCGGTCCTGCTGCAGAGATGTTTCGCATGGCACCTGTGGTTCCTGGACATCAACACATCTGGGCAGCAGTCTTGTATGAGAGGTCTTGTCGTGCTTGGATTGCCTTGGGGCTAACTACAAAAAGGGGTGGCCAGCGCCTGAGATCTACAAAATGGCTCAACTGGATCAACAAGATTCAACCTGCTACATGCATCTACAATTATCTACATGCATCAATCTGGTGAAAATATATCTGTGCAAACAGCCGCTGAGCCAAGAAAAATATAGAAAAATGATTTCTTTGGATTTCCCTGGATTTCTATGGATTTCTGGGGTAAGAAATTGTATGAAATTGTCAATTATGGGGGGGACCCTTTCTGAGATTAAAAATGTTAATTCTTGAATGGACGCGTGCTATTGAAAATGAACCGTTTTGAACTGCAGTCGAAATATCATTTTTAAATCATTTTTGTTAGCCCAACTCTGGGGTATACATAGATAGCTGTTTGGCTGGCGGTGTCTGCTCCTGGGCTTCCCCCAGGAAATCTGGAAAAAAAAGATTAAAAAAGGACATGTCCAAATCATTATATATCATTATCTTATCCATTCTGTAAGCAAGTGATCTGGTAAGTACATTTTGTAGGGTCCTATTAGATCCTATTAGATCCTACTAGCCTATGGAACTGCCCCCTCAGAACCTGTCGCAGCCCTCCAGTGAGCCGGTCCTGCTGCAGAGATGTTTCGCATGGCACCTGTGGTTCCTGGATATCAACAGGTCTGGGCAGCATCCCTATTTGACTTGACAGAACTTCTCGTGCTTGGATTCACATGGGACAAACATATACCATCTACAAAAAGGGTCGACTAGTACCTGTTCTCTACAAAATGGATCAAAATGGATCAACAAGATTCAACCTGCTGAACGCTTGAATCTGGGGTATACATGGGTAAACAATGGTAAACATAGAAAGCTGTTTGGCTAGTGGTGTCTGCTCCAGGGCTTCCCTCGGGGAAGCTTTAAAAAAATATGTCCAGATCCTTATCTCGTCCATTTTGTAAGCAAGTGAGCTGACAAATACATTTTGTAGAGTCCTATTAGATCCTATTAGATCCTATTAGATCCTATTAGATCCTATTAGATCCTATTAGATCCTACTAGCCTATGGAACTCCTGCCCTCAGAACCTGTCGCAACCCCGTGTGAGATCCAGTGAGCAGGTCCTGCTTCAGATGTCTTTCGCATGGCATCGGTGGGTCCTGGATACCGAGAAGTCTGGGCAGCATCCCTGTATGACACGTCTTCTTGTGTTTGGATTCACTTGGGACTAACTACAAAATGGGGTTACCTGTGCCAACAGCCACTGAGCCAAGAAAAATGATTTCTTTGGATTTCCCTGGATTTCTGGGGTAAGAAATGGTCAATTATGGGGGGGACCCTTTCCGAGATCAAAAATGTTAATTCTTGAATGGAAGTTTGCTATTGAAAATGAACCGTTTTGAACTGCAGTCGAAATATCATTTTTAAATCATTTTTGTTAGCCCAACTCTGGGGTATACGTAGATAGCTGTTTGGCTAGCGGTGTCTGCTCCGGGGCTTCCCCCAGAAAATCTGGAAAAAAAAGGACATGTCCAGATCATTACAGTATATATCATTATCTCATCCATTCTGTAAGCAAGTGATCTGGTAAGTACATTTTGTAGGGTCCTATTAGATCCTATTAGATCCTACTAGCCTATGGAACTGCCCCCTCAGAACCTGTCGCAGCCCTCCAGTGAGCCGGTCCTGCTGCAGAGATGTTTCGCATGGCACCTGTGGTTCCTGGATATCAACAGGTCTGGGCAGCATCCCTATTTGACTTGACAGAACTTCTCGTGCTTGGATTCACATGGGACAAACATATACCATCTACAAAAAGGGTCGACTAGTACCTGTTCTCTACAAAATGGATCAAAATGGATCAACAAGATTCAACCTGCTGCATGCTTGAATCTGGGGTATACATGGGTAAACAATGGTAAACATAGAAAGCTGTTTGGCTAGTGGTGTCTGCTCCAGGGCTTCCCTCGGGGAAGCTAAAAAAAAAAATATGTCCAGATCCTTATCTCGTCCATTTTGTAAGCAAGTGAGCTGACAAATACATTTTGTAGAGTCCTATTAGATCCTATTAGATCCTATTAGATCCTATTAGATCCTATTAGATCCTATTAGATCCTACTAGCCTATGGAACTCCTGCCCTCAGAACCTGTCGCAACCCCGTGTGAGATCCAGTGAGCAGGTCCTGCTTCAGATGTCTTTCGCATGGCATCGGTGGGTCCTGGATACCGAGAAGTCTGGGCAGCATCCCTGTATGACACGTCTTCTTGTGTTTGGATTCACTTGGGACTAACTACAAAATGGGGTTACCTGTGCCAACAGCCACTGAGCCAAGAAAAATGATTTCTTTGGATTTCCCTGGATTTCTGGGGTAAGAAATGGTCAATTATGGGGGGGACCCTTTCCGAGATCAAAAATGTTAATTCTTGAATGGAAGTTTGCTATTGAAAATGAACCGTTTTGAACTGCAGTCGAAATATCATTTTTAAATCATTTTTGTTAGCCCAACTCTGGGGTATACGTAGATAGCTGTTTGGCTAGCGGTGTCTGCTCCGGGGCTTCCCCCAGAAAATCTGGAAAAAAAAGGACATGTCCAGATCATTACAGTATATATCATTATCTCATCCATTCTGTAAGCAAGTGATCTGGTAAGTACATTTTGTAGGGTCCTATTAGATCCTATTAGATCCTACTAGCCTATGGAACTGCCCCCTCAGAACCTGTCGCAGCCCTCCAGTGAGCCGGTCCTGCTGCAGAGATGTTTCGCATGGCACCTGTGGTTCCTGGATATCAACAGGTCTGGGCAGCATCCCTATTTGACTTGACAGAACTTCTCGTGCTTGGATTCACATGGGACAAACATATACCATCTACAAAAAGGGTCGACTAGTACCTGTTCTCTACAAAATGGATCAAAATGGATCAACAAGATTCAACCTGCTGAACGCTTGAATCTGGGGTATACATGGGTAAACAATGGTAAACATAGAAAGCTGTTTGGCTAGTGGTGTCTGCTCCAGGGCTTCCCTCGGGGAAGCTTTAAAAAAATATGTCCAGATCCTTATCTCGTCCATTTTGTAAGCAAGTGAGCTGACAAATACATTTTGTAGAGTCCTATTAGATCCTATTAGATCCTATTAGATCCTATTAGATCCTATTAGATCCTATTAGATCCTACTAGCCTATGGAACTCCTGCCCTCAGAACCTGTCGCAACCCCGTGTGAGATCCAGTGAGCAGGTCCTGCTTCAGATGTCTTTCGCATGGCATCGGTGGGTCCTGGATACCGAGAAGTCTGGGCAGCATCCCTGTATGACACGTCTTCTTGTGTTTGGATTCACTTGGGACTAACTACAAAATGGGGTTATCTGTGCCAACAGCCACTGAGCCAAGAAAAATGATTTCTTTGGATTTCCCTGGATTTCTGGGGTAAGAAATGGTCAATTATGGGGGGGGACCCTTTCCGAGATCAAAAATGTTAATTCTTGAATGGAAGTTTGCTATTGAAAATGAACCGTTTTGAACTGCAGTCGAAATATTATTTTTAAATCATTTTTGTTAGCCCAACTCTGGGGTATACGTAGATAGCTGTTTGGCTAGCGGTGTCTGCTCCGGGGCTTCCCCCAGAAAATCTGGAAAAAAAAGGACATGTCCAGATCATTACAGTATATATCATTATCTCATCCATTCTGTAAGCAAGTGATCTGGTAAGTACATTTTGTAGGGTCCTATTAGATCCTATTAGATCCTACTAGCCTATGGAACTCCTGCCCTCAGAACCTGTCGCAACCCCGTGTGAGATCCAGTGAGCAGGTCCTGCTTCACATGTCTTTCGCATGGCATCGGTGGGTCCTGGATACCGAGAAGTCTGGGCAGCATCCCTGTATGACACGTCTTCTTGTGTTTGGATTCACTTGGGACTAACTACAAAATGGGGTTACCTGTGCCAACAGCCACTGAGCCAAGAAAAATGATTTCTTTGGATTTCTATGGATTTCTGGGGTAAGAAATTGTCAATCATGGGGGGGACCCTTTCCGAGATCAAAAATGTTAATTCTTGAATGGACGCGTGCTATTGAAAATGAACCGTTTTGAACTGCAGTCGAAATATCATTTTTAAATCATTTTTGTTAGCCCAACTCTGGGGTATACATAGATAGCTGTTTGGCTGGCGGTGTCTGCTCCTGGGCTTCCCCCAGGAAATCTGGAAAAAAAAAGAACATGTTCAGATCATTATATCTCATCCATTCTGTAAGCAAGTGATCTGGTAAGTACATTTTGTAGAGTCCTATTAGATCCTATCAGCCTATGGAACTCCTGCCCTCAGAACCTGTCGCAACCCTCCA